AATTCACCACCAAAACACAATGGTACTCCTTTCAAAAAGGGCAAAATTAGATTAGTGGAAATAATTTGATCAATTTACATTTTTTCTCCACTAAAGATTTTCTTCTGAAAAAGTTTACTTTTACTAATGTTTTCTTATGATAGAAACTGATGTAAGAACATCTTTGCAAAAATGTAATTGTAACGCCTGACAAAATGTATGGTCCTGAGCTCATTGTATCAAATAGCTATCAAAATCATGACTTAGATAATCAATATTTGTGATATAAGCCATTGTCAGGAGAAAAACTATTTTTTAGGGACTATAAATTCTACCTTTGGTTTAACCAGACCAACAGGGAGCCATTTACTCATACACCACTGCACTGACCTCTGAAGCCTTGTTTATAGTGAGCTAGGTTCTGGGTTGCACAAAACCAGTCAATTAAAATCTGCTCAGATAGTGTCTCACATAGTGGCCTCTTCCTATAGACCTTTGAGAAAAAATTAAGCGTGCTTCTCATGAACAGTTTTTAGGGACACTGCATTGTGTAACTCATAAGGACTCTCATAAGGGCATCATGATGGTAGAAGCATGTGGAGGAGGAGGTTGTTTTAATGGTGCACTAGAAGCAGAACCCAAGTTTCCCCAGAGCACGGAATGCATTTTTCTATTAGCCACTTTTTGTTTTTATTTTATATTTCTGTGTCTAGTTTTTCTCTTTCACTTGTTTTTCCTTGAGACAGGCTCTGGCCTTAAACTTATCATTCTACTTCAGCCTCGCAGCTCTGTCTTATTTCTAAGGTTTTCTAACCAAGTTTTTTGGTTTCTCATAAGCAATAGGACAAGATGAGCAACAAACATGATCATTCATAGTTACATAAAATCATGTTGTGTTTTGTCAGTTGAGATTTTATTTTAGGTAAGAGCACTGGCTTCCCAATTATTTGCCATAGGAAGAAATTTAAGAACTTTTAATTTAGAATGTTAGCTCCTAGGAGGATAGAAAATACTCTCTTTAGTATTTGGCAAATATCAAACCACACTGTCATCACTAGCCAATAATTTCTAATGACCTATCTGGTACATTGTAAAAATGCACAGACTTTATAATGCATACATAGTACATTCTGACTTCTCTGTCTACTTCAATCTGTGGCAAAACTTGAACACCTCTTTCTGTTACAATTCCTGACAACAATTGATTTTTCTTGAAGAGAAATTTTTCACTGAATTTGATTTACGTTTTCTAATTTGCGTGTGAATAATTTTTCTGAATGTTGTGTGAGACCTGTGGGTTTTGTGTGTAAACTAATGTTAACTGTCCCTACTCTGGACAAAAACATAATCACATATCGCATTAGCCTTGAGCACAAAAGTTCAGGGACAGTGCCCAGGCCCTGTGTTCAAGCCCCATTACTGGCATAAACAAACAAAGAAATAAATATATAAATTGCTATTCTCCAGCATTCATCACCATGATAAGTAACTAATACAACTGTAAACATAAGTAAAATCACTTTAAGTACTTCAGACTCTCATAAGTACCTAAATATTCCTGTGATCTATTTGTCAATTTCTCACATACAACATACTATTCCCCATCTTCTTTCTACTCTAGGATCATTTTCCAATTACTCTAAGCAAATCAGAATCATGTTCAATATGAGTATCATTTGTAATATTTCTGGAAACAGCTTTCTTTTGATGTGACCCTTAACAACTTGCTTTTAATCTGACTTTAAACAGCTTGCTTTTCATCATCATCTATCATTTACAGTTCCAGATAGAGATATGTTTTATGTCTCTGTGTCTCTCTTCATCCATTCTCAGTTCATTGGGTCCACTCAGGTAGAGTTTAAATACACTCAGGATTTATGAACATGAATCAGGAAATGGGGGCAACTGGATGAGTGTAAGAGAGTAGGGAGAATGGGATGATATCTCAGGGAAAACGTACAGGGTCCTAAATTGAACATAAAGCCTTTTTTATACTTTATTTTTCATTAGTTCTTATCTAGATCTACCTCATGGGAGCTCTGCATATCCACTACCTTCAAATCACCAAGGTCAAATAGTCTCCAAAGACTTTTATAGTCTGACTTTATATAGACTACTTCTCTTTGCTTTTATTACTCAGGGTTCAGGGATTTGGGCTTTAATAAGATCCAAGTGGCAAAAAAAGATCCAAGTGGCTATTTGCTTCTTCTGTTTAGTTTCTCCATTCCAAAAGACCATATGTTTGAGGAACTAAAGAATTATTTTACTTCTTTTGTTATTCTTTCCGCTACAATGCCTGTTGTAACACTGTTACACAGATAGAATAAGCTTAATATTCTTTTAAAAGGACTGAAACAGAGGTACAACTAGAGAGGTTAACACTACTTTTTCATTATGGATGCCAAACACAAAATACATGTATATGTTTTGAGGTAGATTGTTCATACAAGCCAGAGCTGTCAAAATCTTAAAGCTTATAGTCCCTCCCAGCTTGGGAATGGACACGTAAATGTCATCCCATGCTTAATCATTTTCTCTGCATCCCACTGTTTGCCCTCTCTCTGGGCTACAAGAATATAAGAACTTGGAAGGATTTTCAATAAAATGTCTGTTAGATGTGTGTGAGAGTGAAAGAGAGGGAGGAAGGGAGAGAGAGGGGAGGAGGAGGGAGGGAGGGAGAGAAATGGTAACATGGAACACTCAGCTACTTTAAAATGTATCTTAGAGTTATGCTTTACAGCTGTCCCATGACTTAAGCGTTTCTTCTTAAACCATCCAGAGAAATAGTGAAATGTGTATGACTCGTGAAGATTCGTACTATTTAGATAATATTTTCCTCAGTTTTCCACAATAATCTGGCATTCAAAATTGGTGCTTATTCAAAGTTATTGTAAATGACACTTGTCATTTATTGTAACAACATGAAATTTTCCTGGAGAAGTAATTCTGTTTCTTCAAGCCCTTTGTGGTTTTTCATACACAAGTAGCTATTCTTTTCCAACTTTCAATTAGAATGACTAATAATGTTTTGTATTTTATCAGTTAGTTCTTCCTTTCAATTCATATTTCCTCTGTGAGTCATTTAAATGTCCATGGTAACAAGTTATGACATAACAATACACTGTGTTATGTCAGTGGAGGATATATTATGCAGACAAAGTTATAATTTCATATAAATGATTTCAGGAATTAAAAAGTGGAAATGTCTTCTACATCAAAATCAGATGTAGGACAAATATTTTATTGATCCCCAAGCAGTATTCTAGATCAGTTAGGAGTAATTAATAAATATTAATGTCTACCTGTCTGGGGAATGAATCATAAACATCATAATTTCCACTTGATGGAAGAGAAACCAGACAGAAAAGCTAGGAGGGAGTTGGAAAACACAGAGGGAGGTTCAAATATACCTGTATTCAACTGAGTTTCCCAAGGAATCCACCTGTGGCCATCATCGTAGTCTAGCCAGAAGTTACCCTAAATGAAGCCAGCAATAAGCCCAACTTCAGTCTACAGAGTCATGAAAGATATAAAGCTGATGATGTTTGTTGTTTGTTTTTTGAGACAGAGTCTCACTCTGCAGCCTAGGCTATTGTCCAGCTCTCCATCTTTCGGTGTCTGCCTCCTGAATACCAGAATTACAGATGTGTGCTACCACACCAGGCTTAACATTTTTTTAGTTTACAATACTTATAGTGTACATTGGCATATAAATATATATGTACAATGTAAAGTTTTTATATTTATACGCGTTGCAAACTAAATCACGCTATCACATCATATATCCTTTTTTGTGATTGTTGGTTTGAGCACTAATTTTTGGAGTAGTTTATTTTACAAAAATAGACAGTTTCAACAATAATTTCTACCTTCCATGACTTCATGAATGCCCCAACCTTCCAGTCTACAATATCTTCAGTATTATTGAATATTAATTTCCCAGGGAAGGGAATGGTAAGGGTAGAAGGTTCTAGAGAAAAGGAGAAAAGTTGTCTAAAGCCACAGAGGCAGGTACTGAAAGAAAACTTAAACTTCTTGCCAGTTTGGCCCAACAGGAACAACTATATTTGGGCCAACAGTTCAGATGTTCTGTTTTACAGGTCCGAGCCTTCCCTTAGGTGAACCTAAGGTGAGAAAATATGCCATGTAGTACCATGAAGCTAAGGCTGTATCCTCCGCGCTCCCATAGTTACTGGCTTTGACACCCAGAGACTGCACACTTGAACAACAGCATGTGCAACTGGTCCCAAGCCAGGAAAAATTCACAAGTCCAGTGTATTGAAATGATGCTCACTTGCTTCTTTACTCATGTACTCATAAGGAGTCAGAAAAATCAAAGAGGAAAAGATAGGACTTTTTTTTGTATCATTTTGGATTGCAAGACTGCTGTTTTCTCTAATATCAAGTAAAGCAAACCATTTAAAAATTTTATTGTTTCCTATGTTTTTAAAGCAGAGTTCTTTTTTTTTTAAATATAGGGCTATAAGTGTTTTAAAGTAGTGTATCTTTTATTAATGTGTATATTCTTTATTTTAAACCAGATTTCTTTTTTTAAAAAAACATAGGCCTATGTTTTATAAGTAGCATATCTTTTAATATGTACATAATATAAAGAGCTATAATAAAGCATATTAAATATATGAAAATTACTTTATGTAGCATTTTTCATCATTGTGAAAGATAAACCCTCCTCTTTTTGGGACCTAATGTTTTGCCATCTATAGTCAAATTAATGCAGCAGTAATAGTTCCCATCCCACTTAATGGCAGCCAGGAGTTCCATTAGAAAAGTTTCTTAGGGGGCTGGGAAGATGGCTCAGTGGTAGAGCGCTTGCCTTGCATGCCTGAGGCTCTGGGTTTGATTCCTCAGCACCACATAAGCAAAAAGAAAAAAGCCGGAAATGGTGCTGTGGCTCAAGTGGTAGAGCACTAGCCTTGAGCTGAAGAGCTGGGGGACAGTGCCCAGGCCCAGAGTTCAGGCCCCACGACCGGACCCCCCCCCCCAAAAGAAAAGAAAAGAAAAGTTTCTTAGGTAAAATTGTATTTTCTAATAGAAAAAAGAGGAACAATGGGAATTTGTTATTATTTAAAATAGCTGCAGAATACATTGCCTACTCTAAATTGAGGTCTTAAAGAGTCTCTCCTATGTTTTTTGAACCCTCAGTTCTAGTAGACATCACAGCCAAAGAGTTCCACGCGAAGCGCAATACTTTGATTCCATGTTTTAGGAATGATGCGGATAAACCTGGAGATAATCGGTGGCTTGAAAAAGTTTTTCACATGTCCCTTGGTATTGCTATTTCCTTCGAAAATCTGAAAGGAAAGCAAGAGAAAATCTTCAGTGTTGGCACAGGCAATATAGAAGCCATTTTTATCCTTTGAGCTTAAACCGAGGCCACCAAACACCACTATCACAGCGATCCATCTTCAGCTAATTATGAAGTCCAACCCCGGAAGTCCTCTGAGGGCATTTTCATTTCACCAGCAATCCAAGTCCAAGGAAGGAAGAATAAACAAATCTGCTCTAGTTGCAAGACCATCTCTGCTCTTGGCCCTTTGTAGCTAGCTCTGTGGCCTTAAGGATGTAAATTACAACCCTTGGTTCTTCATTTCCTCAGTTGCAAATTGAGGGTGAAAACAGGAGAGAGGACTAAAGATTTAAAGCTGTATTTAAACATATGACAAGTGTCTGGTAAGTGTTGTGGAGTGGGAACCAGTGAAAGATTTGCTGTTGCTAACACTTAAAATATACCATGTGTGTCTTCTCATTTTCCTTTTGGCACATTAAAAAAATAGAGACAGTTTTATAGTGTTCAATTGTTAATACTTAATTAACTAGATTTAACCTGCAAAAATAACAACAATAACCTAAGACCTTAAAATGAGATCATATGTTTCATTTTCATCACATTTTTTAAACATAGGTAACAATATTTACTACAAAATTTTTGGATAACTAAATGAATAACCTTCGCAAGCAAGAGAAATCAAGATTGTTAAACTAAGTAGCACCATGATAGTGATTACTTGTAATTTCATAAAATATGCAAAGATAAGCAATGTCATACTTGTGAATGGGGAATATGGGGTGAAGTAAATTTAAGCAATTATCTGGTAGAACTAGCACTCATTTTTGAGGCACATGGTTTACATCGTCAGTTAACCTGTTGGGTTTAAGCAAATTCATGTTTTTCATCTCTAGCTAGTTTGTCAAGATTTACACACATACAGCAGAAGGGTAACAGCAGTAACACCCTTCAGACAAGCTGGTGTACGGAGAAATAGAACATGCAGACAACCAGAGGATTTTTTAAAAAGCGAGAAATGGGTACAAATTCAGTAACTAGGTATTGGGCATTTGATGAAAATTCAGTAAATCTCAGCCCTTTTTCCTGGATGTTTCTGCTTGCTTCAGCTCAATTTCCATATCTGGAATACAAGGCCCATCTCTTTAGCTTCACCGATGGTAGCATTTTTAAGCCACCAAGCAGGAATTAGAGGGACTAGGGAATGTGGTAGCCATTCACCATGTAGAGAAAGATGTTTAATAACAATATATCATTCAAACTTTGTTCAGTCAGGAATAGCAAGTATTGCTAAGGCAATGCCAATATGCTCTGATTTCACAGTAGAAGGTTTTCTAGATGCCTTCACCATCTTTCTCAATCAGAGCTGGTTAAGCCTCACAGCATCCTCTGGTATTTTGTCCTCACTATTTCTCAATCAAGGTGGAGAGGTGATGTGCATGTGTGCCAATTCCTGTAGAACCAGGATTAGAAGACTGGAAGAGGTGGTATGTGTCAGTGCAGTTGTCAAAGGAAAGGTAGTAGTACTAGCAGTAGTAGTAGTAGTAGTAGTAGTAGTAGTAGTAGTAATAGTAGTAGTGGTAGTAGTCTTGACATGGTAGTATTCAAATTGCTTTCTCTTGCCAAGAGGGCACCTAGTACCTTGTCCACCATGGAGGATTTCTGCCTGTAAGGTTTCCATTCTACACCCTGGTCGCTGTAGTGGATGCTGTAGCTCTTCACATACATCTCAGAGGACAGAGATTTGCAGCCCTGTGTGACAATGGCAGTTACCTTCTTGATTTTCTGTAGATCAATTTGTAACCATTGTTTGTTGTTGTTTGCCTAGCAAAATGATATAAAGCAAATGGACATGGAAAATGTTAGTATTGTTGCTGTTTTGGGAGATTAAGTATAGTGCACAGAATTTGGGATTTCTTTTGACCTCCTCCCTTAGGATTTATTTTTTTGTCTTATAGATGCCTCCCCTATTTCTTCTTGATTGTTGCCACAACATGTGTATACATTTCTATTGATATATTTCATACTTTATACAGTAATTATTTGTTTACTTTTTGGCATCCTTGCTTCTTGGTCTTCACAACAAAGGCACAAACTGGTGTTCAATAAGTAATTGTTGAATAAATAAGTAAATGAATTTTACTTGAGAAAATTGCTAAATTATCTTTCTTCCTTCCTTCTTTCTTTCCTTCCTTCCCTCCCTCCCTCTTTTCTTCCTTCTTTCTTTCCTTCCTTCCTTCTTTCTTTTCTTTTCTTTTGCCAGTATGGAGGTTTGAGCTCTCACATGGCTTTTTTGCTCATGGCCAGTGCTCTACCACTTGAGCCATGCTTCCAGTTCTATCTAAATACTTTCTCAAGCGAGTTTGTTAAAATACTATGATGATATTTCTGCAAGGTGACCCAGAAAGGAATCTGATAGTATCATCTCCAATGTATAGTGCCCTGTCTAATGCATTTTAGAAAAGCCCAACTTTTCTTTCCACTCTTAATGTGAAATACAAAAGAGTACAATTTCTTATTTTCTAGTATTTCATATAAATGTAATACTTGAGAGACTTAATAAAACTACAAATAGGGAAGGATAGGAGACAAGGTAATTATCTCTAAAGCCACAATGAACCTCCTTTGTATAATTAATTTATGATCAAAGTCCTATCATATTTTGTAATAAATATTTGAAGAAGGAAAGTTGATGACAGATTGTATTTTGATGTAATCTGAGATCAATCTTCACCTTTTGGAATTTTTAGAATTTTCTCAACATCATTTATATTTGTGAGTACATGTACATATATTTATTTGAAGTTTGAAGACAAGATCTGGAGTTATATAGAGAATTCAGGGAATTGGAGCATCTATCTACCTTAGTGGACAGAGACAAGAGGATTAAGTAGGGAACTGGAATTTAGTCAGCTAAAGGAAACATGAAGTTACCTACTATATTCTGGTTCCAACATCAGTTGGAACATGAAACAAAGATGAATCAACTATTAACTGTTACCCTAAAATTACATAACTTTAAATGATCTTAGTTGCTCAATGATTTACTATCAGGAGCAATATAATTCTCGGGGAGGTGTTTAACTTAGATCATGGTTCTATAATCCATGCCTCTGATTGTCTCCAGAAATGTCACAACGTTTTTAAAAATTGTAAAAAAGTTCAAATGGTACACTTAAGAAAATGAAAAATACTGGCTAAATTGTGAGGTATGTTGTGAATCTAAGTTATTTGCCTATCACTACTGTTACCTAATCAAGAAATGGCAAACTAAGACTGTGCTCATGCATTTACCAATTTTTTAGGGACACTTTTTCATGATTCCATGGCAGAACTGAGTAGTTATGAAAGGCTCTTTGGCCTGACAAACCTAAAATACTTACTAGCTAGCTCTTTGCAGTCAAACATTGTACTTTTTGTCTAGACCAAGAATTACAGAGATGATAAATGACTTTTTTTCTAAAGCAAAGCTAGAATTAAAGCTGTGGATTCAGCAGACATCTAGATTTTTAGATTTAGCGTTTTAATCTGCAGAGAAGGGAGATGTCCCTCCTGTTTCCCAGGTCTTCTGTGTGCCCTGCGGTGGCAGTCTTTTTGTTCCCCCTAAAGGGCTCAAGAGTCTATGTCACCTTAGCTTGCCAGGCGTTCACACGGCCCTGGGCATTAAGACGAGCACGAAACGGTTCCCAGTAATCTCCCCACCAAGATTTCTTAAATGAGGAAGCTGTAATTTGCTTGTTTTCTATTTGTCCACTTTCCATACCCAGTGGTGTAGAACATCCTGTCAAGAGAAAAGCCATCATTCATTACACAGCATTAATATTCCCTGCATGGCACTGTAGGGTTTGTAGAGGAGACAAAAATATTATTACCACATAAGAGTAATGCATGTGTTGAATCCAAGGGCAAATCTGCCATCAGGCTGTGAATTTTTGTTAGTTTTGAAACAAGGTCTTGCTGTGTAGCCCAGGGTGGTCTCAAACTGGCTATCTGTGTGCCTCCACCTCTTGAGTTCTGAGATTAGAGGCCAATACCACTACACTTGTCTGACTGTATTTTTAATGTATTTTATAATCTCTGTTTCCCAATGTGAGCACAAAAGTGCCCTGCAATAACTTCCCTAACACAAGCAAGGAGAACAGGGAATTGAATTTAAAGTCCGCTACTATGACACCGAAGACCATGTCCTAAATATGTGTACTCAGTTGTCTTTTCCAGAATGTCATGGGCCTCTCCGTCTTTGCTTCCAGTAGACGCAATTCTAAACAATCCATATATGATCATGTGCTATAAATGGCATTTCAGATAATGACAGGCCATCGATGTGACAATGATGCCAGAATATTATAATAGATTCTCCAAATTCCTATTGCCTATTGATGAGGTCATAGTTGTCTTAATTTTATAGCATAGCCCATAACTCACATATGTAGTGATGCTGGTATAAATAAACCTCCATCACTGATGGGTGTGTAAAAGTATATGGCACCTAATTATGTATAACAAGCAATCCCTTATGGTAAACCACAATGTTACAGTTTACTGTATTTACTATAGTTTTGATCATCTGGCCAGAAGGTACTCCTATTCCTACAAGAAGTTTCCGATAGTAGAGCATGTGAATTGATACTGGCAGTAACTCCACACACGTCAGTTACTGTGGTTCTCAATTGTATCAGGAGGCCACATGGAATGACTGGCCCATATGTCTATGTGACCGCTCTGTGATGTCTTCGCCATGACTTTTCTCATGGCCTATCCCCATTGTTAAGGAATGTATGGATATATATAAATTTTCTTTTTCTTCTCCTAATACAAGCTTCAAAAAGATACAATTGATTTTTAGTAGTCACTATTTAGTATTTTCCCGTCAATGCCTTATGTCTGATTCATGCATGCTTTGGAATTTTGCCAAGGCATAGTCTGAATATCTTAAGCAGCAAGAATACCCATTAGTGTGAGAAACATAGCTAGTGAGCCCAACAAGCTGCTCATCTCTGTGAGCCTTTTTTCTCATAATAAATACGCAGAAATTTTCTTGAAGTGATACCTTGCTTTTTCTGTGATAGGAAAACAAACACTCAAAAGAAATCCTGCTAATGTATCAAGAAAGTGAAGTAAAAGTAATGTTTCTTGTATAGAGGAAGTGATGTTTTAAATAAACTAACAGAGATGAACACCACATTTTTAATTAGCTTGACTTTATAATTGAGCAAAGCTATCATTTATACCACACATATATTATGGAAGTAAGAGTGTGTGATTTATGAAACTATTTCAAGGGGTACTCCTGCCTGCGAAAGAATTGCATTTTATGTAGGAAGTACTATGTAAATTACTATCTAGATATTAGCAAAATGCCTATATCAATATAAGTAATGAATGTCAGAGGTATATTATACCTTAATCTGTTTTGATAAGAAATTGATTCCAAGTGTTGGTAACTTTCTCCCTTAATTAAAGTATTGTAACTTCTCAATAGAATGACAGTGTGGCAAGTTTCCCATGTCACTGCATAATGGCCCTTTTACCCCCTCAGTCTTTGAGCACCTGCTGGAGCCTGGACCAAATTTTGGGCCATTTCTTCATGCTCTTTTATCTCAAAGTGTTAGACAGATACTTAAAAAAAAAAAAGTGTGCTTTTACATGAGGAATCCTGAAAAGCATTACTTTAAGAGTTAGAACAGCCGGCTGCCGGTGGCTCACGCCTGTAATCCTAGCTACTCAGGAGGCTGAGATCTGAGGATCGCAGTTCAAACCAGCCTGGGCAGAAAAGTCCTTGAGACTCTTATTTCTAATTACCCAATAGAAAACCAGAAGTGGTGCTGTGGCTCGCCTTGAGCTGAAGAGCGCAGGGACAGCACCCAGGCCCAGAGTTCAAGCCCCACGACCAACAAAAAAAAAAGAGAGAGAGAGAGAGAGAGAGAACAGCCAGACGGCAGTGGCTCACGCCTGTCATCCTAGCTACTGAGGAGGCTGAGATCTGAGGATCACAGTTCAAAGCCAGCCCGGGCAGGAAAGTCTGTGAGATTCTTATTGCCAATAAAACACCAGAAAACTGGAAGTGGCCCTGTGGCTGAAGGCCTTTGCCTGGAGCTGAAGAGTGCAGTTACAGTGCCCAGGCCTAGAGTTCAAAAAAAAAAGGAGTTATAGCAAATAAATTGATATGACTTTTCAACAGCTTCAACAGCTTCACTGTATATAGTACAATTTTATTTTGACTATTAGTATCTAGATTTTATGTCTATCATAGGTCATATTATATTCCATGAAATACAGCAGCTTACAAGTTCCTATGTGGCATACAAAAGAAAATACAGAGCACAATCGTGGTACCAGGAAGTTGGAAAGCAGATTCAAATGTCAAATTATTCACTGAACACCAAAGCTATGCCAGAAATCTTTTGAGGTGTTTCACTGCATTATAGCCTGGCTAACCTGGAGGACTTTTAAGGCATCAAGGCCTTGTTTGACTCTCAGGCAGCTCTTGTTGGAAATGTGCAAATGAAGGTGGTTTCAACCAAAGCACTTCCTTGCAAGCCATGTGGGCATCATTTATGGAGATGTTGCCCACCTTCTGGTTGGTAGAACCAGTCTTAGTCTAGATCACACTGAGAGTTCACCTGAGTGAAGTCTGGGTTTGCAAGGATTTAGGGGAGCATTCCAAGTTACAAGAGATCTAAGAATTCTACTTCTTCTCCCACACCTCCCAAACCTTGAGTCTCAGAATGTTTGCGAGAAGATAATGCATCTTTTATTCCTTACCATTAACCTCACAGCCTTGCAGCTCCAATCGCAGGGTAGGTCTGTTATAGGACTTTGTTGGAGAGATCCTAATATATCTAGCCACAATAGGTGGGTCAAATTGATTCTCTTTTATTGTAGAAGCATCTGAATTGCCATCAAAATACTAGAAGAAAAGAGGAAAGCAAAGTTATGATTCTCCTTAAACTGATTTTTATTTTAGGACTATGTCTGATTTAACATTGCAAATATTGTTTTCGTGGAGCCTGAATCAAATCAGTTTAATCTTAAAATATATTTGAGATTATTTCCAGGAAGATGAAGTAAATTCACTGTAGTCTATTCCTGCTGCCCGTAGCAAAGCAAAACAAGACTGAAAGATGGGGACAGGTAAGCAGACTGCTAGGGTTCACAGAACCCAAGGGATGACATGGCCTTGAGTTCCCTAGGTTTTTTTTTCTTTTTGCCATTTGTATTCAGATTTTGGAGATGAAGAAACTAGCAACCCGAAACCACCAATGGTACCCATTTTATACTGCTCCAAACAAGAGCCTATTTTCATTAGCTAGAGAAATCAAGGAAAGGCAGCTTTGTAAGACAGAAAAGTTTAGACAATAAATGTTGGATACTAGCCAAACGTTACAGAAAGTAAAGACTTCCTCACTGCAGTAAAGACTGAATGAGCAGCCTAGAGTTTTAGGTTCTTGAGGAGGTACCTTTATACCCTGCTTGGGGTCGTGTGAGAGAAGACCAAAATAGGAAGCCAGAGCTTCAGCCTCTCTACCTCTTTCCCCCAGAGAGGCTCCCTGCAGTGCCAGTGGACACCACTGGGGAGTTTCCAGCAACAGAGAGCTTCCAACGGAAAGGGGGGGGGGGCTGGACTTTGGACTCTATCTGGCAATCATCAGCTGTGCCCCCTACCCTTTCTGTGCCAGAGCAGTATCAGAAAACACCAGCTAAAGTAGTAAGTGAAAACATCAGTAAGATTGAAAGCACAAACAGCAGAGAAAAATCAATGAAAGCGTTGATCCTTAGAAAAGAGAAAAATGAATCAACAAAAGAGAAAAATGAATCAACAGATCTGTTGCAAATGTGGCACAAAATGAGGAGGTAAAAATTACACTGTCAGAGGTGTCACTACCAACCTTGATGACCTCTGAAAGACAAGGCTGACAGATACTATAAAGCCCACACTGGTGATGTGACAAGTTAAGGAAACATGTTAATTAACTGAAGACACTTAAAGTGGATTGGGGATCTAGCCTGGTGATATGTCACCTGCCTCGTGTGTTCCCAAGGGTCTCGTTCAGTCCCCAGGAGTGCTAGAAAATCATAATGCACCAAATATAAACAGATAATTTGAGTAACACTATAACTAAGCATGAAATGTACTTTATAATTTAAAAACTATCCCTCGCCCTAAAAATATCTCTAGGTGCAAACGGTTTTGCTGGTGATTTTTGGCAAAGAACACTAACTATAGAAACCTCTTCTGAAACAGAAACTAGAAGAGCATGCTTATCAATTTATGACTTTAGTACAACTGTGATATCAAAAACAGTACCAAGCCGTACTCAAAATATTCACTGATATCTCTCACATAGATGTAAAAATCTTCAAGCTATAGATTTTATGGCTGTCTGTATTTTCTTTCGCAATACTGATTATTCAGGACCATAATTTAACATGTTCATGGTTTTAAGATAAATTTAAATAATTTATTATTAGAAAATCCTTTGGCTGGAGATGTGGCTCAAGTGGCAGAGTACCTGCAAAGCAAATGCTAGCCCCTAAATCAAACCCTGCTATCTTTTTCTTTTACTTTTTTTTTTTGCCAGACTTGGATTTGAACTCTGGGCCTGGGTGCTGTTCCTGATCTCCTTTTGCCAAAGCCAGTGCTCTACCACTTGAGCCACAATGCCACTTCTTCATAGTTTATTGCAGATCAGAGTCTTACAGACTTTTCTGCCTGGGCTGGCTTCAAACCATGATCCTCAGATCTCAGGCTCCTGAGTAGCTAGGATTGCAGGTATAAGCCATTATTAAAAAATAATCTAAAAACAATTCATCTCCAACACTGAGAAAGGAGAGGTAATGATAATGTAGACAAATAGTAATGCTAATGTAGAAAAATAGTAAATAGTAAGTGATTTATATGAAATGTAAAGGGAGGCAAATTCAAAGTCATTCATGGTAAATTGGTAGCCAGACTCCTTGATTTCTATTTTGCCTTGGAGAAGGGAAAAGAAGAGCGAGGGCTCTTGGCCGAGCCTGTAAGACACTAAGCAGGTATTATCATTCTGCAACGTGACCTCAGAATTAGTTTGAGAAGCCCACAGCATCAGAACACCACTGATGTTATCTCTTGTTCAAGCACATTAAAATTAATAACAAAATAAGATGTAGTTAAAATCTTTTTTTTTCTGGTCCTGGGGCTTGAATTCTGGGCCTGGATGCTGTCCCTGAGCTTCTTTTGCTCAAGACAAGGACTCTACCACTTGAACCGCAGTGCCACTTCTGACTTTTTTTTTTTAGTTTATTGGAGATAAGAGTCTCATGGAGTTTTTTGCCTGGGCTGGCTTTGAACCATGATCCTCAGACCTCAGTCTCCTGAGTAGCTAGGATCACAGGTGTGAGCCACCAGCAACTGACGTAAAATCTATTTTTGTGGGGCGGGGTCCAGTTGTAGGGCCTGAACTCTGGGCTTGGGCGCTGTCCCTCAGCTCTTCAGCTCAAGGCTAGCGCCCTACCACTTGAGCCACAGTGCCACTTCCGGCTTTTTTCTTTTTTGCTTATGTGGTGCTGAGGAATCGAACCCAGGGCCTCATGCATGCAGGGCAAGCGCTCTACCACTGAGCCACCTTCCCAGCCCCATAAAATCAATTTTTAATATGAGCTTTTTGGGTAAGATGCAGCCGTATGTTGCTGGTTTGTCTGGATGCTTGATTTGATGATAAAGTGACTTTTTTCAAGTTTGAGGGAGTTTTGAAGGTTGTTTTTTTTTTATAGTACACAAGCCACTTTTCCCCATAAGACCCTTCGAAAGCCATGCACATTCACATTCAGAAATATACTTTTAAAAGGACACAGTGACCCTGGAGTGACCTTGCGATTCAGACAGAAATGTGTACACAGACCATCACGTTCTTCGTGCTGTTCCCCTTGAAGATCTGCCAGTTGGTTTGGTCAGCACTGTAAGCCACAGAGAACTCTGTGGTATAGCAGGACTTTAGGTAGTGTTTAGCACCTTGAGTTTGTATCCCCGTGATTACAACTTCCCTCTGCAGATCCACCTGCAATAGAGTAAGACCAGTAAACAGAAATATCTTTTTCAGTGAGTCACATTCTGCCATAACTCAGGGCATATTTCTTTAAAAAGGCAATGCCTAAGGTCTCCATGAACTTATAAGATGGCTAGATGTGCCCCATAGTTGAGCACAGTCTCCAGACTTGAAATCCAGATCAGCCTCTACCTAGTTGTATAGAACTTTGACAAGTTGGTTCATATCTCTCGGTTTTTCCTCTGTGCAGTACTTCTTGTGCCACACTGAACGGTTTGTTTTGGAAAATATCTTAGCACCTAGCTATTGTGATTTCCTATAATAATATTATAAAAACAAGAAGACCTTACTAAATCACTGTCACTTTTATCATAATGGCAGTAAATAAGACATACCTGGATCCAAGGTTTAGAGGAAATTCCTGTTGGAATTTTTTCTATACTCCAAGCATTATATGACCCACCGTTGTTTAATCTTGCTAATTTGGGCTCCCAATAACCTAAATTCAAAGAGAGAAAAACTATTCTGAACTTTAAAAAAAACAGACAATTAACAATTTCTCAAGGGAATCAGGTCCTTGGCCAGGCATGGTGGTACACACCTGTAATCCCAGCACCTGGGAGGCTAAAGTAGGAAGATTGCAAGTTGAAGGCCAATCTAGGCTACGTAGTGAGATCTTGTCTCAGAAAACATAAAGGAAGACCAAATTCTTAGAGAAAAAGAGGTTGTGTTGTAGTTCAGAGACCAGACAGTTGACATGAGCTTTGACTACCAAGTCAACCTTTGATGAGGAAATCCTGGCTTCAGGCCTCTGCATGGTTGACTGCCAACCACCACCCATCTCTTTCCGCACACAGGTCATGCTTGTCTTCTCTCAGGTCGGTTTGGCTGCTGTTGAATATTTGTGCCTAACAGGAAGCTACGAGATGGCTGTGGAGGAGCCTCGTGATCCTCTCCATCACAGCCCCTTGACCTCGGGAAGGGATTTGAGGCACACATACAGTGGGCGATCAATTAAGTTTCATGAATAGGTGAACAGTTGGCACAGGCTAAAGGCTATATTATTGGGGACCTTAGCTCCTGGTGATTAAACCCTGTGAATCTTGCTGGAGCATTAGATGTGTGATCAAATCCAGAAAAGATAAAGGGACCGAATTTTGAAAATGCGCACATGGTCATAAAAGTAAGCTACCGACTTCCTAGCAGCCCTCTGCTAGAGACCAGCCTGTATGTGGAGATAACAGTGGTGTGTATTTCCCAGGAAAATGACCCGTTGGGGATAGTAAATGTAAGCTAATAGGAGAGATGAAAGCAAACAGGCTTTTAGCTCCTGCCACAGGTCAGCTTCCATTCCCAGATGAGCACCATCAAGGGAGCTTTTTCACTATGTTTTGGTAAAAACAAAAAGGCTGAGAGAGAGTTGACCCATAGACAAAGTTGTCATAGATTAGTAAACTTCACAAACTGTCAAGTTATCATTACCAGGCGATGATGCCACTACTTACTCAGATACTCAGAAGCCTTGATCTGTGAGTCAGCTATCATACCAGTACTTAGCCCCAGGGGTATTTTACAGCCTGTGAAAAATGGGGGAAAGACTTTTGCTTAGAAAATACATGTGAAGTAGGATTTTTTTAAAAGCAACCTCTATGGCTAGAAGTTATACCTCTGTTAGATAAGGAATCAGAGATTTCTGTCTGTTGTGTGTGGCAATGACTTACATGTCTGGTTATAAAAAGGTAGTGAGCATTCTAGTAAGAATGGAGTTTTAACTAAAATGGTGCCAATCCAGAGGGAAAAACCACTGGGAAACTGAAATGAAATTGATTTGAAAATTGATTTTTATGTGCTTGTATTGTAAAACAAACTATTTGACATTGGGCACTATTCTTCATAAAACAATGTGTGCATGCAGAAGCTGGAAGGCTAGTTATATCTTATAAAGGTACCTCAATGTGAGCACAGTGAGTGATATACAATATGTACGGAGCAAAGGCTTTATAGGTGGAAGGACAGGTGGAAGCTGTGTTTCTTGTATCCAGAAATGCCAAGTTCAGTGACTTCCTCATTTATTGTTGATTCCTACTACCCATTCCTCCTCTACCATAGGAAACTGGAGAGTCTCTGAGATGCCCCTTCCACTGGATTGTAATCCATGAGGAAGAATGCTTTCTACGCACTTTCCAAAGAGGAATGCTTTTACACTGAACTATAGAGTTTAAGTTTTCTAGATGACTGCTGCGTTGTTAGTATAATCAGACTTTGGGTCAAAATAAAATAACTATGACTACAAATTATGCCTCTGTCGCATCACAGTTACCAGAGTCGAGTTTTTGCAGTTTAAAAGCATCAAGCTGACTCCTGTTGATACCCGTCATGTGAATGATACCTTTGTCTATGATGAGAAATGGTGTTTGCATTCCTGCTCTCTGGTTTTCTCCGACCTCTGTGTCTAGAAGCCACCAGCCAGCTTTTGATGCCTTCATTTCAAGAGTTTTAAATGAACCTAAAAATACCAGTAAGGACAAAATTACATACCAAAGATTAATAAGTTAATATGCTAATGGCTCTCTAAGAATCTTAAAAATCCCTGAATCACAAGAGACTTTAGAGTACATTTGAAAAGGTTTGCAATTCTCATGGGGAAGGACTAAAGATAAAATAGATTCTAAAAAACACAAATTAATAAAAATAAATCACTACATGATTTTTTAAAATCTGCCACCTGTCATTTAAAAGACATTATTATTTAAATGTAATGTTACAAGCTAACAGACACAATAAAACTCATCATCTGACACTGACTATATTGTGTCTCTTCGTCGCTCCATCTTGCGTTATTATATGCAAAAATTCAACATAAACTCCTTATAGTTTCAAATTTTCTTGAAAGCTTAGATATTTGCATAGATATTTACATAAATTGTTTCATAAAATCACAGGAAAAACGTGAATGCTAAAATTTTTGGCCTTTACCAATTAACACTGTACTTAAATTCTGTTGAGTACCATTTGAGACTATAGATTGTGAATGAAAATTACTAGCCAATGGTCCTCCTCCTCAGATGCACTGAAGGAAATCTGTAGTTTTCCTCTCTCCAGTCAGAAATTTCACTTTGGGGGTCTGGATGAGATAGTGAATTTTAGCTTCTCAGTCAACCAGTCTCGCTGGCTGGCTCCTGTGAAGGAAGCCTCATCGACTAATACATGGGGAAAAGATGAGAGGAATTTAAACTGGTCCTTTTTGTCTCTGATCTTAACAGAGCCAGCCTTTCTAGGTTTAGTAGGGAGTCACTGGTACATAAAAACGCAACAAGTTTTCCCTCCTCACCAGCACTTGTCAGTCCAACCCATTTGAACTTCTGTGCCCTTCTTGAGTCCTGTCAAGGAACTGCCTTTTACTAAGTCCTTAGCACGTGTGGAAGCATGGCTACTTGTTAAAAATGCAGATCCCAGTGGGGCCTTTGTGGCTCACCTTAGAATGCTCAACTACTCAAGAGGTTGAGATCTGAGGATCGCAGTTCAAAGCCAGCCCTGGCAGGCAAGTCCGTGAGCAGAAAGCCAGAAAGGAAGCTGTGGCTCATAGTGGTAAGGTGATACTTGTAAGCACAGAAGCTCAGAGACAGGGGCCAGACCCCCTCAGGTCAAGCTCCAGGACTAGCACACGTATAAAATGCAGAATCCTGGAAAATTAGGCTAAAATCTATCTCTTCAAAGTCTCTGAGAGCAAAATCTCCACTTCTACCATCTGCATTTTAACCAGCTTTTTAGATTTTGAGTGACATCTTACACTCACAGTCCCATTCTCACACCCATTATACAAGCAGGTTCACCTACAAACAGCTCTCTAGTGTATTAACATCCTTTCTGATGATTGAAGTTTTTTCCACATTAAAACTTCCAACTACCTTTGCTATTATTTACTTTTCCAATCATTAAAAAGAAAACCTTTTCTCTCCAAGTAGCCTCATGAATCAATTAAGATTATGAGTCCTGGAGTCACCAACCCAAAACCAGGGTGACAGAGCCGGGAGACCTAGGAATCCATAAAAACTAGGTAAGTTTTGAGCCTCCCTCCCCAAAGGAAAAAACAAAAAACAACAAACTTCTGCTGCATGAGTGAGTCCACTGTGATTAATTTTCTCATCTGCTGGAGACCTGATCCATGGTTTGGAGAAACCACAGGACACATAGCTGAACCACATATTCAATTTGTGTAGTGCCCCATACAGTTTACATTAGCTGACTTTTTTTTTTGACAATTTTGGTGTGTGGCTTTGCCCAGTATTGTTCCAGAATCCTGTGTTCTTGGAGCACAAGGAGATAATGAGAAGGAGTTAGATGCCCTATCCTGCTATTTCTTAGCAGGGAACTCTTCCATTGCCCACATCTTTACCGGGTAGAAGGGGCCAGACCCCTAGCTGGTGCTGTTGAGTGCCATTTTCCAGCAGGGTTTGGCCATGGAAGTGAACCACATGAATGTCTTGGGAACCACCCATGTTCAGCAGGTACAGTCTCACCCACTCTTGCTCGTACATTCTCAGGCCAGGCAAGTAGAAGATCCTCCCATTAATAGCTGCAAGGAGAGAATGGCAGTCAGTCAAAGACCTGTCTACACCAGGAAGAGGAAGGTCACGAAATAGAGGGCAGTGACTCACCACCCAGCTTTCCCAGCAGATTGGCACTCCCAGGCCCACCCAGGCTTAGAAAGGGCTTCCTACACACCCTGAGACCAGTGAGAGGTTGAAACAGAACCTCCTGCCCCATCTCTTGTTGCTCTACAGTGGCCTACAGCAATGTCGTACGCTCACTTCCTCTCTGTGTACTTCAGACTTCGTCCTTCTCTTGACCAGTGCTTTTTCCCATTTACCCTTCACACTAATAGGGTCAATTTTCTTATGCTGCACAAAGATGAAGACAAGGATGAGTAGATACCACAAACTCCAGGGGTGAGAATAAGTAAATGACTATGCTTGCTCTCATCCAAAGACCTAAATTTAGAGATGTTTCACATCAATTTAGGAAGATGGACTTTCTCTTGGATGTACTCACCAGCCATAGGAAATCATGTTTATTTTTTTCGTTGGAATGATTGTACTTCTACCTCCTTCTCAGCTTAGATGCCTAGGAGTTTTGGGCTATGTCCACTCTCTCCTTAGTATATTTTTGTTGGTATAGTGACCTTGACCTCATGATCCTCCTGTTTAAGGCTCCCAAGTGTTGGGATTATAGGCATGTACTAACATGCCCAGATGAAATGCATAACATTTGTGTGTGTGAAAGCATTTTATGAACTTAATCACCTAAAAATAGTTCTCATCCTACAGCTTAGCACTACTAAACATGTAACTGAAACAGAAAGGACATTTTTTTCTTCTTAAAGAAATAGCTGTAGAATTTAAAGAATCAGGCAAGGGAATTTTTGAATGGGGAGGAGACAAGCTCATTTTAGCACCCGAAAATTACATCAGGTACGAGTGGCTCAGTTTCTGCTTAAGAAACAGATCTCAGAAGAGTGAGGGCTTCACAGGTGATTATTAGGTCAGCACTGTTGAGCTGTTACATCAGTATACTGAAGTGAAGACTGTCAGCATAATAGGTGCTCAGTAACCATTTGAGAAATTGTGATGGACGATAAGAATCGCTTATTTGTACATTATTTCACTTCTTTCCTGAGAACATCCTGCAAAAGCCAGCCACTGTGCTCAGTAAGGGCTGGGGACTCAGAAGATCTGCTTTTCACATACCCTAATAAGTGCTTGTTGCCTGAATCACCAAATCACAAGGGTTTCCACTGAAGCCATACTGGAGCCTTTGAGGAAATCAGGAAGCAGCGCCTCGTGGGCCCTCAGCAAGTTAAAGAGCACAGCAGAAGACAAGTGTGTCTGGGTCTGCAGCCTGGCCTTCCCTGCCGGACTGGGAGGGTGTCCAAAGCATGCATGTCCTGCTCCTTCCAGTAGGCAAATTGGCCAAGGAGTAGAGACGGTAGAAGAGGCAAAGAAAGGAGGGAATGGGAAACAGAGAAGAGAAGAGGAAGGGAGAAGAGAGGAGAGGGGAAGGGAGCAGAAAGGAGAAGCAAGGAGAAGGAAAGAAGAGGGAAAAAGTAAGGGGAGGAGAGAAGGGAGAGGAGTGGAGTGAGAAAGAGAAGAGAAGAGAGCTACGCTTGCAGTCTGTTGGGCGGCTGTTTCTCAATCAATTTGGCTTAATAGAATCCTTTTAGTGTTTGTATTTTGTAAATGTTTTGACCTTTTGTGATAAACAAATCAATTCTTGGCAGGTGGGGATTTAAAGCCTATATTTTCACTCAGAGGTAAAGGATAGAATAGAATAAGTATAGCATAAGCATGCAAATGGTAGAAGAGGGAGAATGTACCTTCTTTGGCTCGATGGCTGGTGGAGGGTGTCATGGATTAGACTATGATGTATATTTTATTTCTTTTTTGTTGTTTATTTCTTTTTTTCCTTAGCCACTAGCCCCTTTCTCCTTTTCCATTGCCTGAGTGATCCATGACCCAAAGCACAGGCTCTCACTCGCCTGGGACCCCTGAACAGCCATCTGCATTTATCAGTCTTAAATTTTTTCCCCTAATTTCCACCCATTGTTCCTTTTTCTCTAGGGCTGTTTGCTATCTAGTTGCCAATTTACACATCAAATGCCTGAGTGGATTTCAAAATGGGAATATTTTCCCCAGAGTGATCATCTAATTGCTCTCTTGCTCTCCTCTCCTTCTTTCCCTATCTCGGGCATGGGCACTGCCTGGTAGCAGCTGAGAACTAGAACCATTATAATCACTGTCATTTGAAAAAAGACACTTGAGTGGTCCTTTCTTCTATAGAATGATGTACTCCTTTAGCAATCAAGAACAGGCTCATTAACTTCTCAAAGTGCAGATGAGCAGACTGCCTTTCAATATATGTTATCAACTGAAGTGCACTGGCCTACTTGGCCTGCTGATTACTTTGGGTTTTTTTTCCTAGACAATTAATTAAGCAAACTTGTATTGAAGCTAACATTGTGGTACAGAAATACATTTCAACTGATTAAAATCCAACACCAATGAAGAGAGAAATTATGGCACCAAAATTTTCCCTCCTCTACCATGCTAGGATAGATTTCTATTCAATCTACAGTTCTCATTTTCTAGGCTTTGTTCCACATAAACTTATGCAAGTTTTCAACATTAGAACTCTTAATTATGTTAGGAAAAGAAAAACCAGACTTCAAGCCAAAAATGTCATCAAAATCTACTGGGATACTATTCAAGAACAAAATCCTCCCAACAGAGCAAGTCTAAACATTAGGTGCTGTGCTCAGTAAGAATCAAACTGATAAAGCTATTTGAAAGCTTCAATTAAATGTTTAATCAACAACATGCTTAAACTAAGTCAAAACAGTGTTCCAACCACTTGATCTCAAACCAAGTAGGTATTGTTTAGAAACACTAACAAAAGATGTTTCATTTATAAATACAGAAGGAACAGAACATCACTGCATCAACCCAGAAATTACCAAGAAAATATTGTGAGGACAATAAATATGAAATTTAGTTAAATTTTGCTCTTCTCTCAAAATTTTTTGTTTGTGTCGGTCGTGGGGCCTGAACTCTGGGTCTGGGCACTGTCCCTCAGCTCTTCAGCTCAAGGCTAGCTAGCACTCTACCACCTGAGCCACAGCACCACTTCCGGCTTCTTCTGCTTATGTGGTGCTATGGAATCGAACCCAGGGCCTCATGCATGCAAGGCAAGCACTCTACCACTGGGCCACCTTCTCAGCCCTACTTTAGATTTTTGTCTGGCAGCAGCCTGTACCACCCTGTCTTTGTCCTCCTTAACCCTCTGAGACGCAAGGATTCAAGTGTAGTTAAAGTGCCTCGCTCCTTAGAAGTGTCTAGTATCTAATCTTTCAAAAAAAAATCTAAAGGCAGGAATCACTGTGACCTAGTGTGGTTCAATTCTGCGATTAGATCAAAGTCAGAGGGAAATACCGTAAAACTCATGGGAGTTTTTTACTTCTGAAGATTCAGGTTTCCAAGACCTTTTGGACTTTTCATAATACCAGCTCTTCGTCTCATCGAAGACCATAAAAAGTAACACGAATTCTCTCATGTCCACAGCCATATTGCTCTTTTTATGAAGTATTCCTTTTCGGCAGACCAGAAGGGGTCCTATCAAGCCCGAGTGGATGTCTTTCTCCTGGAGGACAGGAAGAACAAATTGTATGTATTCTCCTTTGCTTAGGATTTTCTTTGCTCTTCTAACAGAAAAGGGATCCCCCCCCAACAAGCTCTTACCAGGAAATATTCACAAATAGATTTGTAAGCCTGGATATCTATCATTTCATTCTGCTTCATCTGATTGTATTCTCTTTTATACCAATAGTGATGATGATATTGATAACATAATGGATACCACTTACTGAGCACCTACACTGTAGTCAATGCTTTACCTTGAGCATCTTACTTCATGCCAGCAAGTCTCCTAGATGTTAAATATAAATTAATTCATTGTCCAAGTATTTATCAAATGCCTACTATGTACTACACACTATTACCTCATTTTTTTTAACATTAGACACTGAGATTGAGAAAGGTCAAGTCATTTTCCTGCAGTCACTTAGTAGGATGCAGTTGGAATTTAAATCTAAGCAGTCTCGGAGCTGGATATGTAGCTCAGTGGTAGAATACATGCACAGAGGTTGCAGTCTCTAGTAACACACACACACACACACACACACACACACACACACACACGACTGCTCTTTTACTATGCTTTGCATGGAGGACTTTAAAAAAATGTCACTACGTACATTACATTTACCACATGCATCATAGTATTTTGAACTATTTATATATTGTGGACTGGCAGATGAATCTTGCTTTTCCAGCTTTTAATGAAGAACTGCATCTGTGAACGGTTTTGACTTCTCACCTGCTTCCATAAAGCATAGGAGGCAGCTAGTATTCAACACCTGAGGAGAAATTTGTCCCAAACTGCCTGCCTGGGAATAAAAGAGATCCTCCAGCACTAGGGAACTAACTCCAGATGTTGTGGCCTAGGAAACCATCCCTCGCATGCTCCATCTGCTCTAGCCACCTCAACCTGCCCACAGAGGTTGTGGCACACAGTTCAGTTTGGGCTTGCCACATTCAAGCAAGGGACAGCAGCAGCCCTGGAAGGCCTCTCTGGCTTGACCCAGGATGAGTGGATGCTGCCAGTGGGCCGTCAACTCTAGCCATGCAGGGTTCCCTTCAGCCCTGAGGTCCTGAGCGGCCCCTCCCCAACCTGGGGACTCCTTTGTCCTAGATACAGGCCTTGTTCTCTTGTTTGCTGAGACTGCATGCACAACTGGGGATTGTTGCTGGGTGTGTGAATGCTTTTGACCCCACGCCTGCTTCCACAAAGCATAAAAAGTACCTGCATTCAACTCCTGGGTAGAAGTCAGCCCCAAACCACGTGCCTGGAACAAAAGGGAGACCTCAGCACTAAGGAACTCCCTATAGAGGTCTTGGCCAATAAACAAAGCTTCTAGCGTTAGAGAGTGTCCTGGAGCCCTTGCTGCCTGCTTGAGGGGAGAGGGCACCTGGGTTTTCTTGGGTGACCACATTTGCATGGGATTGCACTGTGGAAATAACAAGTGTCCCTGTCTCAGAGGGCCAAGGTGAAATGAGGGTGCCAGGTGCATGCAGTAGGTTCCATATGAATGCTGCTTTCCTGCCTCCCAGCAGCCTAAGCTCAGGCAGGAAGGCTGGGAGTGGGTACCATTTGTCTTGATCACAGAATGGCTATTTTGTCCAAAAAAATCTCTTCATTCTTCACTGGAGGAGTTGGACACAGGATAGAATGTGTCTGCATTTCTTCCTCCCAGAGAACACTGTATCCTCTTGCCTGTGTCCCTATTCAGTTTAGAATAGTGCTGACTCCTTGTCACATGGTTTATTAGCAAACAAGAGATAACAAATTGATTCTCTCCATAGACTCCACAGAGCAGAGAAAGAATTCTTCCTTCTGCCCCCAATCTCATTATGTGACTTGAGCCTACTTTGTCTGCTTGGGCCTTCCTTTCCCACCCTGCTGAGGCGCGCTCCAAAGCCTGGCTCCAGGCTATTAAATACTGCAAATAAGCATCTTTCTCTGCAAATGCAGGTGCCCTAACTTGAGCCCACGCATTTATATAATCCTCCCTCTTCTCCACTGTAAAAATAGTTCTCTTCTTGTCATCTAAACACTGCGTGGAGATTCCTTAGTTTGGGTACCAGTGATTAGAACCTTTCCACAGCCCTCCCAAAAAATAAGAGCAACTTTTAACAAGAAATAACCCAACCCTTATAATGAAACCCCTCAGTACAATTAATGTATGCAACTAAAGAAAAGAAGGAGAGCCAGACTGCCAGGCAGGCAAGCAAGAAGGCAAGCAGGAAGACAGACAGACAAAGAGAAACAACCCAACCTTTACATTTGGTGGACCCAGATGACAAGATTAAGAGAATGACAAGAACATCAGATGGAAATGCTAACCGGGTTCACTGCTGAGTAGTAGGCCCATACTCGACAGGCAGAGCCTGGGTTCTCGGGCCCTGACCGCTCTGTGGCGTGCCACACATATGTGTAGCTGCTGTTGGGCTGGACAGCATTATCCTCCTTAAACCACTCAGGAGAGTCGTCTTCGTAAGTCTTTCCTTCTGATGACTTTTCGTAGGAAAGCCCGTGCGTGTGAAGAGAATATGGTCTGGATGCCAAGTTTTTAAAGCGAACCTAGAGAAAGGAATTCTCTATAAATTAATTGACAAAACTGAATTGAAAAATGTCAGCAATAATTGGCTAAAATGTTGTGAGATCAGAACTAAGGCACATTGAGTATTTACCTTTGGGAGTTTATATGTAAATTTTAATCTGGTTTCATAATCATGCTTTGACATACAGCCTATGTAGTTTACCATAGAAACACAGAAATTATGCTTGTCTTTAGTCTCAAGGCTAAAGGACTGACATTATTTACTGTTATGTATGAAATGTCCTCCCAGAATTCATGTGAAAGTCTGGTCCCTAGCCTGCTCTGGTGATGGAAGTTGGTGAAACCATTAGGAGGCAGGAGGCAGTTGAAGGAAGTTAAGTCATTGGGAGAAGTCCCTGGGGAACAAGGTTTTGGGGTCCCAGCCCCTCCCTCTCTATCTTTTTTGGGTTCCTGAACACCAAACACAAACACCTATGCTCCCCCACACACTGTCCACCATGATCAGTCTTACTGCAGGCCCAGAGAGCAATAGAACTAAGTGACTATTGGCTGCAACTTCTATAACAGTTAGCTATAATAATCTTTTTCTCCTTTAAGTTGTTTTGCTCAGGTATTTTGTCACATAAACAGAAAGATAACACATATCCTTCTTTTCTTTTCTTTTTTTTTGGGTCCGGTCATGGGGCCTGAACTCTGGGCCTGGGCACTGTCCCTTAGCTCTTCAGCGCTCTACCACTTGAGCCACAGCATCACTTCCAGCTTTTTTTTTGTTTTTGCTTATGTGGTGCTGAGGAATCGAACCCAGGGCCTCATGCATGCAAGGCAAGCGCTCTACCACTGAGCCACCTTCCCAGCCCTCTTTTTTTTTTTTTTTTTTTTTTGTGATAGGGGTTTCTTTATGTTATCCACTCTGCTCTCTAACTCCTGAACTGAATAATGTGCAATCATCTCTGAATTATTCAGTTTCCAACACTGAAAAAGATAAGGGAGATCATTTTTTTTGTCTTGAAGAGTGTCAAATGGCTTGAACAATCCGCCTTTGAAAATCAAGTTAATTATTTGTTAACTTTGAACAATAATTCACCTCTATAATTTTTTGGACACCTTCACCTGAGCAATGTGTGGCACTTATGAGAATTCCTCTGATGACGTTATTAGGGAATAAACTATGACTTACCTGGATAACATCATCCACTTCTGCTCTAATAATAGGACCAAGAATGCCAAGGTGCTCCTCATACTCTCCCCGCGGATCCCGTCTGGTAAAAGTACTATCCAGGTACTTTCGGAAGACAACTTTCTTGTATGTGGTGTCCTGTGGCACGTCATCAATTTCGTCATCCAGGTCCACCTCTCTGAAATAATGACAATGGTCATTTTATAGAAGAAGACATCAACACTGGTTCAATTTAGGAAATTGTCTCTGTTTTGAAATAGAGTATCTAGCACAGAACTGTTAATAACCATTGCAGGGATAAACTAATGAATTTATGTGTGAAGAAAGAGACTGGCCACTAAACTCCCAGCCGAAGGATCATTTCTTAGGGAACGCTTCCTACGATGCTTTGGATGAGGTCATTTTTATCATGCCTTCTATTTCTACCGCGTGATTATAGTTTACACAATAAATTCCTGTGATCATATATGCCTATGAGGCAAATTATATATGTTCTATTTGTGAGATTATCTATTTCTGTCTTATTCCACCTCTGAGGTGTAAGCCCTGTGAGGTAGGTATTATGTTTAGTTTGCTCACAGTATTTTTCTAATGTGGAACCTAAAAACATCACACTCACCGAAGCAGAGAGTAGAATGGTGGTTAGTAGTGGCTTTGAGGGCAGGGAATAGGGAAGATTTAGATCAACAGATACCAAATTTCAGTTAAATGCACAAGGAATATGATCAGAAAGTATATTATACAACCTGATAACTATAATTAAAAATAGAGATCTATAGTCTTGAAAACTGGCAAGCAAGTAGATTTTTAAGTGTGGTCATCACAAAAATAAGAGACAATGCACATGCTAAACTAGCTTGAACTAGACATTTCACAATGTATATGTATTCAACACTGTCAATATTTACAAATAACAAAAGATGGTGGTACACACATCTTATGGAGCACTACTGAATAGAAAAATGATTCTTGATACATGAAAGGACTGGCTGAAGGTGGAGAATGTATGTATTGTGTGGGGGGAAATGCCAGTCCCAAAGGTTACACGTTGCTTGATTTTGCTTATATGATATTCTTGAAATCATTTACATAATATTCTTGAAATGACAGTAACAGAGACTACAGAAGTGGTTGCCAGGAGATGAGGAGGAAGGTGGTGGGAGGGACAGAGATGTGACTAGAAAAGATAACTAGGCTTTTCATGGTGATGGAAATGTTCTCTGCCTGAAAGTATTTATTTAGGTCAGTATATTGGCTGTGCTACAATGTTACAATTCTGCAGGGTGTCACCAGAGTGGAAATGAGACAGAGCATGCAAGGTATCTCTCTGCATTGTTTCTTGCAATTTAAAATTTATCTCAAAATATAAAGGTTAATTAAAATATAAATATAACACCTTATTCTCTAGATAGCTCATCAGCTCAGTTCAAAGCATATGAAATTCCCATAGTCTATGGGAATGAGCCAAATCTTAGTCTGTCATACTCATAATACTACTGATATATTTCATAAACCATCAACAGAGATTTTTTTTTTTGGTGGTAGTACAGGGATTTGAACTGAGGATCTCACACTTACTAGGCAAATGCTCTATCACTGAAGTCATGGTGCCCCAAGACAGTTCTTTTTCTTTTTCTTTTTAAGTTCTTTTTGCTTTAGTTTTTTTTTCTTTCTGATAGGTCTCCAACATTCTGTTCTAGCTGGCCTTAGATTATAATCCTCTAGATTTCTAAGTAGATAGGACTACAGGCATGAGCCAATCTGTGTAGCCAACATGGCGTTTTATTCTGCCTTCCTTCTAGTCTGACCTATAAACTTCATCCATTCTAGATAGATTCTAAGCTTAGCATCTAGTCTCACAGAACACAGGAGAGAGGAGAAAACAACTTTGCAATAAAAGCTGGGTGTAGGACTAGACTAAGGCATGAGATTTTTTTTTTTTTTTTTTTTTTTTTTTTTGGGTCCGGTCGTGGGGCCTGAACTCTGGGCCTGGGCACTGTCCCTCAGCTCTTTAGCTCAAGGCTAGCGCTCTACCACTAGAGCCACAGCGCCACTTCCGGCTTTTTTTCTTTTTGCTTATGTGGTGCTGAGGAATCGAACCCAGGGCCTCGAGCATGCAAGGCAAGCGCTCTACCACTGAGCCACCTTCCCAGCCCGGCATGAAATTTTTGAAAGCATTTGTTTCATCTTGTTCTACTCTGAAGAAACACTAACTTCTAACACCCTCAGACCTTGCTTATAATTCTCAGATATCCAGATAGTCTCATGCATTTAAGTAGGAAGTTAGGAAGAATGTATTTTTAACAAGAATCCTAATGTGGAAATAAATATTTGTGGACCAAAGTCACATCACATATTCTGTCTGGCTACTCTCATTACACTTTAGTTTTTAGTGAATAAATGTAGCAGCTTTTATGAGAGTTGTGGACTACTTATAGACCATGAATGAACAAGTAATCACCATGTGTATCCCTGAGAATCTGTAATTGACTAATTCTTGCTCCTTTCCTCCTCTTTCTTCTATCTTCATACCAGAACATATAGCTGAGCCCAGTGTGACTTTCTACCTCTAAGCAATACTAAATTGAAATGGTCTTAACTTAAGAAGGTATATGTTGAAAAGTATCTTAAATATATATACATTATATATATTCAGAATCTGCCCTATAAACACATAAATGTGAAAAGGAGATGTTTACATTGTAATCTGGATTTGAAACCAACTTCAATTAAGTCATATTAATTTGATGATCATTATGGATAGGCTAAGCTCCATATTGGAACAAGACAGGAGGGTAAGAACTTGTGGGAAGAGAATAGGAGACAGGAATCATTTATACCCACAGCACACAAGAGATTTCACAGTGATTCCTGTTACATTTCTTTAGGTCTCTTCTAAAGCCATGGAGCCAATTTTCAGTAACTGACACAGGAAATACGGGCCAAGTTGCAATAGGAGAACCAAACTATATTGTACATAATTTGCTAAAAATTATTTCTTAGGGCTATTTTGTGTACTTTTCCGCCATAGAAGTGGGGAAAAGAGACTATAAAAAGAGAAAACTATCCAACCTTTCTGCAAATTGTGAATAATCCCAGGGTATTTCCTCAGCTGCAATATAATAATACTTTCTGTTCCCCGAGTTGCTGCGGAGATACCATGCCGCGATGTTGTCAGGATTCCTGGAGGATGTCATATCTGCCCTTGTGTCTGTCTCATACGGGTTGTCGTAGTTCACATAATGCATCTCAGCGTAGTCATCTTCACTGCCCTCATAATCTTCCCTGGGAATGATCTCGATATAATCTCCATCATCTCCACTGAAGCCTACCACCACGAGTGGGTTGAATTCTTTCGGTGTAAAAGTGTCATTGAGCGTTGGAGATGGCATATGAATAAGGTCTAGATAGGGAAACGTTTGATTAAAATCAGGATGAGGTCGAGGCTGACTGGATTCAGAAGGGGAGGATGTCTGACTGTGGTCTGGAGGAAGTGTCTCACTGCTATTAGGAGGAAGGGTTGTCTGACTGATGTCTTGAGAGACAGTGACCTGGCCAAGGTCTGGAGACAGGGCCATCTGACCAAGGTCTGGGGGTGGAGATGTCTGGCTGAGGTCAGGAGAGAGTGTTGTCTGGCCTGGAAATGGGGACAGCGCTACCTGGCCAAGGTCTAGAGATGGGTCTGTCTGGCCGAGGTCAGAGGGTGGGGACATCTGGCTGAGATCTGGGGACAGAGCCATCTGGCCAAAGTCTGGGGACAGAGATGTCTGGCCAAGGCCTGGGGAGAAGGTCATCTGGCCGGTGTCTGGGGAGGGAATTGTCTGGCTGAGGTCTGGGGCAGGGGAGGTGTATTGCTGATCTAAAGGGATGGATGGCTGACCAAGTTCTGCCAGGAAAGTCGGCCAGATGTCATGTTCTGAGAGAGGGGAGGTTTGACTGTCGTCAAGAAAGAACTTATGGCTTAGGTCATAGGGAAGCATCCAACTGGATTCTGAAGGAGAGGCTCTATGATTGGGATCTGGAGTAGAGTGTGTTTGATCAGAGTCTTGAATAGGAAACCATTGATATCCTTCCTCCGAGGGCACTATTTGATCAAGATCAGGAGGGGAGGAGCTTGCCTGACCAGTGCCATTTGGGAGCTTCTGATTATGGCTAAGATTCCTGAGGGGGACTGTCTGATTGGAGTCTATGGGAAGAGACGTTTCATTGGATTTAGGCAGGAAAGGGTGGTTGGGTCTCTTGGTGTAGGTATCTCTTCTTCGGGGGTGAAAACTCCGGGGAGACAGAGGAACATGCTGTGTAAGCTTCTTCTTCTTTTTCCGTGTTCGGATTAAAAATTGTCCTCTCATCAAGCCACTATTTCCTCCACGCTGTGTGACTTGAGAAATGTTTCTCAGGTTACGTCTCATTGGAGTGAGGTTTGGGCGATTACTCTGCTGTCCTGGCTGTTCTGTAGAAGGGATGCTTTCTTCCAGAGTCCTCAAGACATTCTGGGTACTGTTCTGTGTACCAACAGCCATGTCTTCCTCTCTGTCTTCTATGATCTCATAGCTACCTTTTTCAGAAGCCAGATGCCATTTCTCATTCATAATCTTTGATGGGTTCATTTGTTTTAACAGTAATAAATCACTAAGAATGTCCTTCCTGGGGCTCATTCTGGAGGATGTATTATCTTGGTTTGAATGTCTCCCAAGTTTACGGACTGGGAAGTTCATCCAGGAGAACCTATGCTTTGCAGCTTGGTGTCTTCCTGCCTCGGGTACTTTATGGTTAGCGTGTCCTTGGCTTCTGAATCCTTTTGTAAGGAGGCTTATGTGTGTGCCATCTGGCTGCAGGGGGTCCTCCCTATAGTCTTCAGAATATGGGCTGGAATGCTCTTCTGTGGAAGGGTTGAGAACTGAATTCTTGTCGAAGCCAGTGAGGTGTCCCAGGGGGCTGACAGCTGGAGTGGCTACTGGGTGGGGAAGGGTTTTCTGAGGCTCTGTGAGGTTATCAACAGTGAGCCTACTCGTGTTTCTTGAGGAAGAAGAATTCAAGCCAATAGCTGTATCTGTGCTCGGAGAAATAAATTCGGAGCTGTTTTCTAGGGCAAGAGCAGTAAGATTGAATTCATCTTCTTCCCCATTCAATGATGAATTCCTGAATGACCTAATTCCTAATGAGGTAGCCAGTTCATCCTGGTAATCAGATTCATTATCATCCTCTTCCTGTTCGTTTTCTGCAGAGTAGCGCATTTTCCGAGTCTCCATGGCTGTAGACTCCACAGGTTTATAAATATACGAGTCATCATTATCATCATCATTCCGGTTACATTTAACATCTCTGAATCTCAGACTTAGGTTTTTGCTTCTGGGACTAGAATTCATGGTAGTTATCATCCAAGTTCCTTTAGAAGAGACACAGAAGACAAATGTTGAAAGTCAAGGAAAAGGTATTAGAACAACAGTATCTGAATGATTTCTTGTGGACTTTGAAATATGTATCTGTCTGTGATATGTGGGCCATTGTTAATTGGTGAACTTTAAATTATTGGTCCTTAATGACATAAAGAAACTGAGAATAAGATACTTAAGTGTTTTTGTTTTTGTTAGCAGTTTGCTTATACTGTGACACTCAAGCACATGATCAAGGCATTGCTCTTATTTACAGAATGTAGTCCAAAAGTAGGAAGTAGGAAGAAAAAAAATTTGGGTTTTTTTTTTTGTACACAATGTCAAGCATATTTTGGAAGATATAAGGGGAGGGTTGAATCACAAATAAGACATTGACTATTATAAACATCTTATTAGCTGTATATCTTGTTTGAGAGTTGGAGTTAGAGGATGATGATAACATCTACTTCCAACAAAATATTTAGATCTTTAAGAAATAATTTAGATAGGGTCAATGCAGATTTGAATCTGTCTAAAATGGTATGAATTACTAACATGCTAAAAGTTTCCTGGGAAGTCTCCAACACCTCTGACTTGGTAAATATTACAATTAATGGCCAAAGAACCTCTGTCAATTGATGTACTTTTTATGTGTGCCTGGATTGGGACTTGAATTCAGGGTCTCATGCTCTCACTTAAACTCAGTACTTGCTGCTTTTTTTGCTCACTGGCCAATTCTCTATCAACTGAGCAATGCCTTTAAACACTCACTGGGCTTTTTTTTTTCTCAAGGCTAGAACTTTACCACTTGAACCATACCTCCACTTCCAGATTTTTTTGTGATTCGCTGGAGAAAAGAATCTCACAAATTTTTCTTCCTGGGCTGGCTTTAAACCAAAATTCTCAGCTCTCAGCCTCCTGAGTAGCTGGGATTGCAGTGTGAGCTACATGAGCCCTCCACTATAATGTTTTACAGGTGAATAATTTGAGGCTTGTTTAGGCTGAGTAACTGTGTAAGGTTACTAGAGATTGAGTGGTAGAGGATTTGAGCTGTGTCTGATTTTTTACCCTACGATGGGTGGTTGTCTTAAAAAACGAAAAGGAGTGTCTGAACTAACAATACAAGCTTTCCTACTCATGCATTGTCCTCAAGGTTGTGCAGTATCCTCCTGCTGGTAGTCTTGACTGCCCACTTGACTCAGAATTGTATAAATTGGAGCCATATGAAAGAATAGGACCCATTTAAGTCAAGGGTTTCCCATTTTGAAGCCCTCAATTATAGTGAGGACTACAAGGCATCAGGGAAATACACCAGAAGGAGGTAGTTGTCTGGAGAAATGTAGCTGGCCTTTAGAGACCAGTGGCTCAAAGTCAGCTTCTTCTCCAAGTGTCCACCTTCTTACCAATGTTATCCATTGTGACCGTCACAGATTCTCCACGCATCGGGAAGAGGGTCAAGGTATCTTCATGCCTTTTTCCATGGAGAAATGAGTGTCCAGTGAAATGAATGGTCAAAATATCATCCTGAGCCCCCACACTGCAGAAGTGCCACTGGACAGTGTCATCAAAGCAGAATCCTAAAGTAGGTATGCTCTCAGGCACATAGCCATTGATAGCTGAAAGATAAGATGTATTAGTATACCAGGTCTCTGCAAACAAAAGGGCATGTGTCTAATTATATCCAAGACAAATGTCCTAGTGTTCATTTGGTTGTGTCAAAGCAGTGATTATCCAAGATAAGTCTCACTAGGTCTACCATGTGACCAGGAGATCAAATTCAGACTTCCCAAATAAGAGCTTATCCTCCTTAGTCAGCTGAGAGAGAAATGTCGGGATAGAGACAAAGCCTTTTATTCACATTGACTTATTCATTCATTTGACAGATATATATATATATATATATATATATATATATATATGTGTATGTATGTATGTTAAACATTTTGAGCTCTAAAATCTGTCATAAGGAAATTCTGAAGATAAATAGAGAAGAGTAAGCAGAACAGTTCTACTTTGAAGAAAAGCAAACCATAAGAAATTCATCTTCTTGATATACCAGTCTCTGAGAAAAATGAATCTCCTTTAAAAGGGAGCTTATTTAGGAGATTCTGTCATTTTTACGGATGCCTATTGTCATCTATATATGCTATAACTTTCCATTCAGTTTCATGCAGTTTGACTCAAAATATAAATGTATGTTCATCACTTTTTAAAGGATACTGCTAGGCAACATCTCTATTTTTGGATGTACTAATCAGCAATAATTTGTGATCAAATCAAATCTGTACTAATTTGTAGTCAAAGAAACGACTTTTATGTGGACAGAGCCCACACCTGCGTGGACTACCTCTGTACCTCTAGTACTAGTAGAGCGTCCAGACTCCCAGCAAATTTGTAAGTGAGCACTTAACATCATTTCAGGGATTCAACATGTATTCCTTAGCAATTTGCACCTCATTCTAGAGGTACATATTTATTGGACAGTGTACCTTTATTCCATTTATTCTATATGGCCACTGGCTATCAGTGGCTATTGAACACGTGGTTTCTTGCAGGGTTAGGGATCAAACCAAGAGCCTTATGCATGCTAGGTCAGCACTCTACCACTGAGTTACATACTGCCAGTCCTCATGAATGCTTGATAATGTGAATAGACTGAACTGAGATGTAGTAGAAAAATGCAGTTCACATTGGATTGCAAAGATTGAGTAATAAAGTAAATCTCATTAAATTTTTCTATTGATTGAATTTAAAGTGATATATAAAATATATTAGTAAAGCACACTAAATTAATTTCACTTAATGAATTACTTTCCTTTGTTACTTATTTTTATGCCAGTACTGGGGCTTGAGCTCAGGGCCTTATACTCTTGCTTGGCTTTTTCTCTTACAACTGGTGCTCTGCTACAGAAACCACATCTGTAGTTCTGGCTTTTTGCTGGAGACAAACTCTTGAGTTTTTCTGCCTAGGCTAACTTCAAACCTCGATTTTCAAATCTCCATCTCCTGAGTAGCTAGGATTACAGGAGTGAGCCCCAGGCACCCAGCTCTTTATTTTTCATTGTAACTCCCAAAAACATTTTATGTATGTAGCTAGTATGTAATTTCTGAAGCACGGTTCTGTCTCTAGAGCTATGACAGATTGACTGTAGAAATGAAATTATGCAAAGAAAGCTGAGAGTAGCTGGCTCCCTATTTGTCATGGCAACCTATCATTTCTGAAGATCTCCAAATTATCAGTCATCTGACATTACGTAGACAGATAGTGGAGAAACAATCCTCATAGGTATGAAAAGGGATGAAGGTCACTCACTTCTGACTCAGGAACAATAGACGGAATCCTGGCTGTTGGGAGAGAAATTTGCTTCTAGATTCTTTCATGAAATTTCTCGTTGACTTCCTGTTGACTTTGGAACGGAAGAAAGTGCCTGCATTCTGACTCAGGGAATTCCTTCTGCCCTGAGCTTCTTTCCGTTTCACACCTTTTCCTACATTGTCTTTCCAAGACTTTTGAGTACCCAGACTCACTTTGCTTTAGTTTGGATTGCATATCTTGTTTCTGCCCTGGTCTTGAGTGAATAGTATTCACCCTGGTTAAGTCTCAACTCTCCAGTGCACTGATCAAGGGTATAACACATTCTGTACCCAGCCCTTCCCTACATCCATTGAAAGTAAGAGATGAAGCTTCAAAGTTAATAAGCACTGGTTGTTTTTAATTTTACTCGGGAATTTCACCAGCAAGTCCTGAAATTGCCTCTGCCTATGGGCATAGCCACTCCAACCACAGGAGTGAAAATGTGATGGACAGACATGGTCTCTAACTTACTGCTCATGATGTTTGACTGGTAAAACTTGGGATCATCACGTTTCACCTCATCAGGATTTTCACAAAATTTGTTGATGTTATACTCAATATACCAGCTCTTATTCTCATCAAACATGGCAAACACAGCCAGCTGCTCGATGTCTGCTGCCCTCTGGAGGAAGACAAGGCTGTGGTCAGTGGTTAATGCTCCCCCTAAGGACCAGTTACTAAACACTGGGTTCTCAGATACTGTACGGACACTGAAGCCATCATTCAGATGGTTTGTCAAAGCTAAGGCTAATATGCAAAGCAAACAGGTCAGAACAGAAAATTCAGACACAAACACATCCCCAAAGGCCAAAAATAATCCCATTTCACCACAGTAACTGAAAATCTGTTCATCTCTGTAATTGAGCATCTTTCTGAATATGTTCCAAGTAGTTGCAGAGGACATACAGAATGTTGTAACAGAAGATCCCTTTGTCTCTTTTCTCTTGTTTTGTATAAATCAGGATCTTAAAAATGTCCAGTTCTGATTTTTCTAGACGTATGTTTATTTTGTATGCTTTGAGATAAAATTCTTTGATTATAACTTAACCTAAGTGAGAATTTTAGGTTAATGATAACAGGACTATTGATCTTCAGTGATGAAAAACTCAGATCAGTGTCTTGTTCCCATTCTTTGGGATGATTTAGTTTCACTGCAAATAGGCCATTGTTTGGCTCCAACTTCACTAGAAGTCATCTTCAACTGCATCTGTTTTCTGGGAAATCTCCCCTATCTCTCTATCACCAGTCTCGGAAAGTCCCAAAGATCAATATAGAAATTTACATTATTAGCAGATGGTATCTCACAGAATTCCCCCAGACCACCCCGTTCTCAACTTTTGGCAGAAGTATTATTCACTTAATAAAGGAAGAAATTAGGAGATAGTAAATGACTTCCTCAACAAAGCCAACACACAGGGAGTTTTAATCTAAAGTTAAATACAGTATCACACTATAGACTTACATTCTGCACTGACTGTCACAACGAAACCAAAAAAGGGCCCAGTATTTGTTTTTGTTCTATAGATAGAAACACAATTTAACAAGGAGATTGGATCTGTTCCAGCCAGGAGAAATACCCAGAATTTCTGAAAAGGTATGTCAAAGACCAATTACCTGTATGCCCCGAATATCCAGGGATCTGCTCTTACAAATTAGAAGAAGCCCTATCAGCCCAGAGGCAATGTCCCTTGTCATATCTACGTCACTGTAGTACGGTCTTGTTAAGCACTGGGGATCATTTTCTGTGGGTTCATCAGACTCTAGGATATTCCATTTGTAAGTATAGGTTTCTCCGGGTTGAACGGCTCTGATCATGTGACTGCCTAAAAGTGAATACACTCAAAATTATTTTAATTTGAAAATTTATTACATGATGCAAAGTAAATATTTTAGCTCTCACTAGAACCAAATAATATCAGCAAAGAAATTTTCTTTTTACCTTAAACACTTGGAATTCTGGATAGCATGTAACTGTTTCAGTACTTCCTGTTAGAGACAACTATAACAGCAATAAAGAATTCCATAATTTGTGACCACAGACAGAATCCTGAAGTGAGACGTGCTTGTGACTTGTGTATTACTACTTATAACACAGGGCAAGGAGGGAAACAGAAAAGGTACAGAAGCATCTCTCGGTCATATGTTTCTTTCAGAGGCTCCCACCTGAGGTAGAGTGGGCTTCATCATCTTGATGAGAGAAGGTCACTCCATGAGGGTAAATGCTATATGCCCGGCTGGCCATATTTTTAAACGTGATCTGCAAAGTTAAATCAACGTTGTCATTTCAGAAGTTAAAGTTTCTCATGAGACCTAATAGAGGATGCTAGCTTTGCATATTTACTGTGTGTGTGTGTGTGTGTGTGTGTGTGTGTGTGTGTGTGTGTGTGTGTGTGTGTGTGTGTGTGTGTGTGTGTGTGTGTGTGTGTGTGTGTGTGTGTGTGTGTGTGTGTGTGTGTGTGTGTGTGTGTGTACACACAGTTATCTGAGCAGAGCAGTAACTCCCTCCCATTACCTTGTGGTGGTAATACATATGATGGTGGAAAATTGAGCTGACCTTAAAGGACAGATTAGGAGTAATTACATTTTCTTCACATTGTATTACAACTCTTCAAGTTGGTCCTCATCTTTCTTCCCTACTTGGACCACATCTGTCTCCTCTCATCTCTAGACACTATTCCCTTCTGCCTGCCTGATGTTCTAGAACCACTCTTCCTACAGGGCACAAAATCCACATCCTGCATTCCCAACAAAGGATTTTTGCACTTGAATCTAATATGCCTAAAAGAAAGGAGAAGTGAGGTAAAGGGAAGCTTCATAGAAAAGAAGTGCTTTGTTCTTTCATTGGTGTGTGTGTGTGTGTGTGTGTGTGTGTGTGTGTGTGTGTGTGTGTGTATGCACGCATTGCACTGATAGTGAGGCTTGAGCTCAGGGTGCTGTCTCCTAGGTTTTTCCACTCAAGGCTGGTGCTCTACCACTTGAGCCACAGCTTACTTTGGGCTTTTGCTGATTAATTGGATTTCAGTGACATAAGAGCTGGCTTTAAACTCTGATCCTCAGATCTCAGCCTGGGTAGTTAGAATTACGAGTGTGAGCCATTGGCACCTAGATCTTATATTGTTTTTGTTGGTGGTGGTGGTGGTCATGGGGCTTGAACTCGGCCTGGGCACTGTCCCTGAGCTTTTGTGCTCTACCACTTACTTTGAGCCACAGTTCCACATTCAGTTTTCTGGCTGATAACTGGAGATAAGAGTCTCACAGACAGCCGGGTGCTGGTGGCTCACGCCTGTAATCCTAGCTACTCAGGAGGCTGAGATCTGAGGATTGCGGTTCAAAACCAGCCCGGGCAGGAGAGACTGTGAGACTCCTATCTCCAATAAACCACCAGAAAACCGGAAGTGGCGCTGAAGCTCAAGTAGTGAGACTCCTATCTCCAATAAACCACCAGAAAACCAGAAGTGGCGCTGAAGCTCAAGTGGTAGAGCACTCGCCTTGAGCTGAAGAGCTGAGGGACAGTGCCCAGGCCCAGAGTTCAAGCCCCACGGCCGACAAAAAAAAAAAAAAAAAAAAAGAGTCTCACAGACTTTCAGGTCCAGGCTGGCTTTGAACTGTGATCCTCAAATGTCAGCCTTCTGAGTAGCTAGGATTTTAGCTGTGAGCAACCAATGCCCAGTTACTTATTGTGTTGTTTAATAAACAAAATAGACTTTATCTGGGGACATGATTCACATAGGAATCTTTATTAGGTTCTTTAGTCTTCAAAAAACTATTGATTGACTTCCCAAGGCTTTGACTCATCCTTAGTTTGTAGAAAATCAGCATTATCTTAAACTTTGCTCAAATTGTAACCATCAGTTTTTGCTGAGATGTGATATAAATCTCTAAGGAGAGTTGTCTAAGGCTAACTCCAAGCTTTTGATACATATCTAAATGTACCTTTATTAGAGACCAAATGAGATCCAGGCACCTAGACCACACTGAAGAATAGTTGTTTAGTCAGTTGTGGGGCTTGAACTCTGGGCCTTGGCTCTAGTCCCTCAGCTCTTCAGTTCAAGGCGAGCACTCTGCCACTTGAGCCTTAGCTCCACTTCCAGTTTTCTGGTGGATAATTGGAGATAAGAGTCTCATAGACTTTCCTATCCAGGCTGGCCTTGAACCATGATCCTCAGATCTTAGCCTCCTGAGCAGCTAGGATTACAGGCAAATTGCTTTTAATTCAGTTGTGTTTACTGTTGTGTACTCTGCACCTATGAAAAGCATTAAGAAGCTGTTTGACTTTTAGGTTCTGTAACAGCTGTACGAAGTTTGGGAAGGATGTCCTCCTCTGAACCTTAGAGCACCCTCGCTTGAAGGCTCCATGGGAAAGTTCCTCTTAGGTTTTAGCCACAGGCAAATTGTGCTGTCTTTGTGAATTTGTGTATAAATCTTGCCCTAGTACATTCACTTTGCTATATATAGCTTGGGACAAAAGTTGCAGTCAGCCTTGTAATTATTCCTGAGTTTTAAATTTTCGCCATCTTTAAGTAGTTGTACAAAGGAATTGCCATTTAACAAAGCAGTTTATGTCCCCCCTTTCAAGTGACATTTTTTTCTCCTACACCAGTACCAGCGCGTGAAGTCAGGCTACCCCACTTACTTCACTTGCTTGTTTGGCCAATGCTCTACCACTTGAGCCATGCCTCCATCTCAGGTTTTGGAGTCTCATGGACTTTTCTGCTTGGCTTGGCCTTGAACCAGGATCCTTCAGTTCTCACTTTCCTGAGTTGTTATGACTACAGTTGTGAACCACTGGTATTTGGCCTGATTTTCTCTGTCCCCAAGTTCTCTCTTCAATTAATTGATTCGTTTTTTATTTTTTCCTTTTTGATAATTTGTTGTGAGACCTTTGTGTTACGGAGCAGGCTATAAATAAAAGCAAGCACTAACTGAAATCTAAAAGCTACATTTGCAATTAAAATTACAGGAATACTTTGATTAAGTCTAAACACAGAGCCATCTATTCTGTGGTATTTATTGGTTTTGTATTTCTGTTACTTACTTTGAGTGTGTCTCTGACCTGGGCTCTGATAATTGGGCCCAAAATCCCATCTTCTTTTTTCTCTATGCGTTTGGTGAAGGTCTCATCTTGGTACTCTTTGTAAACAACTTTCTTATACTCTTTTCCAATTTGGTTTGAGAAATTATCCAAGTGTAGAGACCTATATTTTCTGAAAGTGAAATGAAATAATAGAACAACAATTTTACCAATTTTTAGAATGGGAAAACCTTTGCACTTAGCAGGGTTTTGGATTAGCTAAAATGCCTACTTCTCTAAAAATTAGTGTGCTCGGGGTCCTCATATCTTCTGTCCTGTTGCAAAACTAAACATCTGAGTCACTTCTGTGGTAAAAGATTGATTAAGTCCTAGATAAGCCATCAGAAACAGCTATTCACACTCCCTGCCACTCCCACTGGGGTAGCAGGCCTTGGATAGCTCAGAGAAACAGGTTGAGAAAGGAGGTCACATTGGGAGTTGTTCTAAAACCTTCCCTGTCACTTGATCTATGATGCCCTTACTGGCTTCCTAAATATTTGAGTCTTCAGCAGCCCCCTCTGGTCATTTTTACTCATTGATCTTTATTCGTTAGAGTTTTGTGTGATTGGGTTGTTGCTTTCACCAGCCACCCAAATCCTGAGTGCCAACTGAAAAGGAAGAAACCTTCTTTACCATCTTCTGTACCTCCTAGGATACATGGTTTGGGAGAAGAAACATGAATGCTGGCTCCCCTTATTGCCTTAGTTTGCAAAGGAGGAGCTGCGAGTATCTGTTTTATGTGTTTATTCTGTACAGTGAAAACACTGACTATTGCCAGAGTCTCAGATGCCCATTTCAGCTCTTTACTACTTACATAATCTTGGCCAAGTTCCTTTTTTTGCTCTTCTTTCCAGTTTAGTTCTTTAAGCCAATTTCAAGGTTATTATTGTTTTTTTTTATTACAGTGAGATTAAAATCTCTCATATCTAATATTGCTTTTTTGCCCATCCTGAATTTCCTCAACAATTTTCATTTCATGTGTATCATTTCAAAATCTTGTGTAATGCATACAAAAAGACTCAAAAATAAGCAAATATAAATATTGTATTTATACAGAAGGTACCTACTTATATAGTCCATAATAAATCTTGATTGATTTATTCATTTTTGGGTGATGGTCCTGGGGTTGAACTCAGCTTCAAGTTGGCTAGGTAGGCGTTCTACCACTAAGCAGAGCTCTCAGCCCTATTTGCACCTTTTTTTTTTTTTTTTTTGGTAACTTGTGGGGCTTGAACTCAAGGCCTGGGCACTGAACTTTCTTGCTCAAGGCTAGTGCTCTACTACTTGAGCCACAGTGCCACTTTTAGTTTTCTGGTGGCCTTTCCTGCCAGGTCTGGCTTTGAATTGAGATCCTCAGATCTCAGCCTTCTGAGTAGCTAAGATTACAGGACTGAGACACCTGCTCCGGCTTTACACTCTTTATTTTGCACTGGTTATAGGACCTCACTTCCTGCTCTGGGGTTTTTCTTACACCTGTCCATCTTCCTCCTATCATAGCTCAGAGGACAGGTATGTACCACAGGCCCAGCTCTTTTCTGTTGAGAAGTATCTCAGAATTTTCTCTCCAGGCTAACCTGGACTTGTCACCCACTCAATCTCAGCCTTCTGCACAACTGGAATCACAGGTAAGCCACTCTACGCAGCTATTTGTTAAGATAGGTTTGGCCCAGCCTCAGACCTCAACTTAGCCTATCTCAACTTGCCAAGCAGCTAGGCTTATAGGCATAAGCCACATGTTTCCAGCTTTACATCTTGCTTTTTAAGTTTAACAGTATGTCTTGGAGAATTTTTTTATTTTGGGTCCGGTTGTGGGGCCTGAACTCTGGGCCTGGGTGCTGTCCCTCAGCTCTTCAGCTCAAGTCTAGCACTCTACCACTTGAGCCACAGCGCCACTTCCGGCTTTCTTCCTTTTTGCTTATGTGGTGCTGAGGAATCGAACCCAGGGCCTCAGGCATGCAAGGCAAGCGCTCTACCACTGAGCCACCTTCCCAGCCCTGTCTTGGAGAATTTTTTATGTTAGTATATAAAGAATATTTATATGCTTCTTTTAGAAAAATGATAGCCCATTGTATGAACATGTCATTGTTTATTGGTTTCCTACTGATAGACATTGGTGTTTGTTTCTAATAATTTGCTCTAACCTAGTGTGGATGCCCTGTACATGACATCATTTCACCTGAGGAAAACAGTCATTTCAGTACACACTTCCTAGTTATCCTCTAGAAAGGATGCAGCAATGTACTCTGCCACCAGAAGGTGTGCTAGTGCTTCTTTTCCATAACCTTATCAGCAGATTGTGCCATCTTCATGTGGGTCTAATAGGCACTGGAGTAGTATTCAGTGAGTGTAAGTTGTGTTTCTGTTATTATGAATGGACTTGAGTATTTTCTGAAATGTTTAAGAACCATGGGAACTCCCAAAGTTCTTAATCTCTTGGACACATGCCCTCATCTGTAAGAAAACAGAAGCAGTGGCTAATGTGTAGATTGGCATGAAGCCCTTAGAATGGATCTAATACAATGGTTAGCAACAAGTGGTAGCTACCATTTATTACTGGTATTATTAGACTAATTTCCCTTGGTGAATTTGGAATGACTCAAGATTGATGAAGTTAGGAAGTCTGGGTGGGAACCAATTGACAGCCGTCCACACATGGCCGTTCACACTCACTCCCAGGACCCTGTGGACATGTCTCAGTCTTTTGCTCAGTGATAGGAAACCCAATGACTCACTTGTCCATATTGGCTGGGATGACAGGTGCATAGTTCCAGATGACTTCCTCGGCAGCAATGAAGTAGTCCCACCTCCTAATGTGCCGCCTCTGGTCTCGTGTTAGTTTCTTTGGAGTCCTGGTTTTCTTTAGGCAGTCTTTAATATCAACATAAACTTGCATCCCAGCTGAGTTAGGATATAAAGGGAGTAGAACAATTTGAGAGAAGCTATTGTTGTTAATCAAAGTGCGTATTTCTGAAATCAATTTGTAGAAGATGTAAGTAGTAACACTAAAAGCAATAGTCAGGCAACTCTAGAATGTTTAGTGTAGGGATTTGGCAGAGGGGGCAAGAATAAACTAGGGTTGGGGGAAAGGGTTAAAATTTGGGAAATTTCCCTTTGATTCTTTTGGAGGACAAAGATTTCTTTTAATTTCCAGACTCTTAGGGCTAGGAGTATAACTGAGTGGTTAAGTATGTCCTTAGCACACACAGATGGCCCTGCTCCCAGCACCACAAAACAAAAGAAGACAAAAGAAGACAAATAAAAACAAAAAGTTCAAGAAAACACTATAATTTAGATCTTATTCAACTTTTTCTTATTTCTCTGTATAAAACGAAGACAATAATAGCATATGCTTAATGGAAAGGTCATTAAAAATTAAATAACAATCCATAATAGCACTCTCTTCAATGTTAGTTTTATTTTTAATATTATTAGGAACTCTATATTACACAGATATAGTAGCAATATCATTGCTCCAGATATAATTTTGATTGGTTAGTGTAAAAAGACAAAATGATCCATGAAATGTTTTATCCACGTGTTTACACACATTACTTTGGCAGCAGTATGTTTTCCTACATTAATATCATTTACTTTGATTTTAGTTTCTGTAAACACAAATGCTTCACTCAATAGTGCTAAAGGAAAAATGTGTACCACATAGGTGTTTAGCTCCTGTGGTATCACAGAGCCTTGGGGATTGATTTTCCTGCTTGAATTCACTGATGTTCTAAAGTCTACCCTACAGCTGTTAGGATATTCTTATGACAGATGCAGTACAAATTGAATTCCTTTCTGTGTCAGGCTTTATGCTCAGCTCATTGTAAAAAAAAAAAAATCATCTTGTGTTTAAGCTTTTGCATTCCCAGTAACTTGGTGCTCCTAAAAATGTGTAGATGTTTGCCTTATTTGATCTAACTTCTAGGTCTTTCCTTCAGCTACATGTGAAATACTTTCAAGAGAGAATACTTCCGTGTGTGCATTTGTTTCCTTCCTCTTTCTTCTTTTGAGGGAGTAGAGAACCTCTTCAGCTTTTGCATCACTTAAAAAAAACCACAACACCTCCATTTCCTTCCTTTCTAGCCAACGGTTATAATCTAAAGGCAAGGGTCTACATGGTGTTGTTAGGAATCTCGACAGGTGTATCTGGCGTGGGGCAAGGTGGTGCTCGTGCCTGGGAGGGTTTCTTGCCTTGGAAATGCGTTGGAATGAGAGAAGATATGATCCACTTCCCCTCCGGGCTCACAGTCATGTTTGCAGTCGTGGACGTGGCGCTGAGCAGGGTGATGGCTGAGACCTTGTGATGGTTCTGCTCCAGGACCTGGCCGTTGAAATGAATGGAGAACAGCTCTGGCCCCGAGCTCATTCCAATCAGATGCCAGCTGATGTGGTCATGGGCACAAACCGTTATATCTGAGGTGGAGGGCGCGGGAAGGAGAGAAATGATTACAAAATAGGCGTTCAGTTAAGTCTCCAATGATCACAAAGTCACTCACCAACTCTATCTGCGGTGCCTGCTCTGCAATGGGCGTTGTGTAAAGTCCTGAGGAAACATGCTCCACTCAGGGCTCCTGTCCCACAAAAGCGTGTGTCTGAATGACAGGCAACCCGTCGCTCACAACTCATGGCAGGAAGTGGCATTTTGAAGGCGATTATAGCTTCAATAGATGGGGGCCTTAGTGCAAAATCCTAGGGGTTGCTAAGTGACTATCTCAAGGAAGGAATTAAGCACGCAATTATCTCATGGAGGGAACTAAGTAGGTGAGCAACTAGCCTGGTTGCTATCCAGAATTGAGGTTTTCCTGGGACATAGGGCTTTTAGTATAAGAACTGGTAAAGCCTCAGAAAACGTGGTAGCTGATCACACCAGTCTGGTTTCAGTGGGAGGGTCTGGAGACCCCCACACACACTAAAAGAAATGATTCCAAGGAATGAATCCTCCTGCCTGGATAGAAGTCAAAGCTCTGCCTCAGGGGGAAAAGGTGAGAAGGGTCTGTGACAGTTTTTGATTGCTTTTTTATCTGCTTTGATTGTTCTAATGAAAAGATAAGAATTACTCTGTGTTGCTTGGTCTTTGTAAATTGCAGTGGACATGCCTCATTATGCTGGCCACTGAGAACTTTTCACGGATGAGTAGTAGGAACTGAGGGAAAAGTCTTTGTTTGCTTCCACAGTGACTGGGGAAATGCTCATTTGTTCTGTGGGAGATTTTTAATCCTGGCTTCTATCTGTGGCTTGGGTTTTAAATTTCAGACTCTGAATCACTAGACAGTTAACAAGGGAGTTGAGGATCAGTCTCTTACCAATAGAGGGGCTTTTCCTTTTTTGGAGATCATTGTGAGAAGTAAGTATGGCTGCCACTCTAGAGGCTGAGATCTGAGGATCATGACCAGAGCAGTCAGGAAAGTCCATGATACTCATCTCCAATTAATCACAGAAGTTAGGCTGTGTTTCAAGTGGTAGAGTGCTCACCTTGATTAAAAGAAGTTCTGGGACAGTGTCCAGGCCCAGAGTTCAAACTCCGGGGCCAGAAAAAAAAAAAAAAAAAGAAAAGCTAGATGGTAGCTAGAAGGTGTGCTTTAGTAAGAGCATTAATGTACCCCAAGGAAATGTTCATATTGAATCTAGCACTGAACACAGATACATAACATTTATCATATTTATTCGATGTATCCTGCTCCATAAGAGGGACTTTTATTGACAGTAAGCATGCTAGCAATGATAGTTCCCTTCCCTTCTTCCTTTACCCTCAGTTATTTCTTTTCAGCTATCAATTTATCATCTTTCTGCTCTGATGAAGAAGTCATTTTAATTTTTGCTCACATGGGTTCCTCTTTTGGCTATATACATTTACATAGACTACTGCCTGGAAACAGATAATTCACAGATGACACTACTGAGACTATTCACTGCTCAGGGTTAGATAAAGATGAAGAAATGAATGAGGTATGAATTCATATCTCCCAAGGCAAGGTTAATCAAGTCTCAAGTTGGTAAGTCCTGACTTTAGATCTTAGATCTAATACCCAGAGTCATATAAGTGTATTTTAAATAGTCCAAATGGCAGATAAAGTCAAATAAAATAGAAAATAAGTTAAAAAATAGTACCTAGACCTTACCTCTTGGTGATTTTTGTTTTTCAGTTCACGAAGCCATTTATGATATTCAGACATATAGAAGGACCTCTTACCTGTGTAGTATTTCATGATACAGGAAATAAGGTCATTGTTTCCCAGGCTAGTTACCATATACCCTGGATCTTTAGTTCTAAGTCAGTTTTGCCAGACGGAAGAAGCATACGTGGTCTAGGTGGGAGCTATGGTTTGGATATGGATAGCGGTTTATGTGCTAGAGGCTAACTGGATGGTACTTACATCATTGGAGGTACTGCCATTAGAAGGAATTAGTGTAGCTATTCAGGGTTCATGTTAGTTCTCATGAAAGGGAGTTGTTGTAAACCTGGGCCACCTCTGTAAAGGACCTCTCCTGCCTGTGACCATTCTCCTTTCTTCCGTGCCAGGTTTTGACACAGCCAGGGAGTCCCTCACCAGTGATAAACTGATGGCGCTGCGCAGCCGTGGGCTTTCAGCTTCTGGAAAGACCTAGCTTTAGGTATTTTGTTATTGTAGACAATGGATTAACAGGGGAATTTGGGGTGCTTTCCCTCTCTTCTCAGAAGAGCCTTATATAGATGGCAAAACACTATAAGCACTGAATAATACTCACCTAGTGATTTTTGAAAAATATTAATAGTATATTTGAATGATCTTCATTGCAAGTGCTTTTATTTCATCCCTGATGATCATTTCTGCTAGGGAGTGGCCTTTAACTTCCAGGCAGCAGGGAGCACCGAGCTCACTGATACCTTTGAGGTCTTCTAGGGGGTAGAAGCCAAGGTGAAACTTCCCCAGATACTGACATCTAAGAAGGATACGCACTCTTTCCCTTAGCTAGCTTTCAATTTATCTGTTGCCCTTCCTGGTTAAAAGAAAAGGTGACAAAATCTTGAGAATCAGTGCCTTGGACTGCATTACTTTCTGATTAGGAGTTGAAAATCAACAAGAACAGCCAACTTCCCTGTGTCTTGAGGAAAACAAGGGAGCCGATGTATCCGTGAGTCATGGCTCACGTGTTACCTGGCATTGTCCCGTTCACATAGCCATTGATGGTGTACATTAGGGATGATGACTGGCTCCAGCTTTTGCTTTCATCAAAGACAGCAAACAGCAGCACATACTGCTTGTCAAACATCTTCTGAGTCCCATCCTCAGTCAGGGTACCTGGAAAGAAGATCTGTGTTTTCAAAAGCACCTCAAATTATAGACTGTCATTAACTTTGCTTGGTAAGCAAAGAATTGAGGGCAAGAGACAAATCAGAAGTTTATCATGTAATAACATCTGTCGTGCCATAATGCATACTTTGGCACCATATAGACTTGGGAAACAGGTTTATGTTGAGTCTCTGTACCAGCATCCAATTCTTCCGGTCTTGCTAGGCTAATACATACGTATTCTGTATGTATATACATACACATGCATGTATAAAATGGTAATATGTATACATATTATACATAATATGTTCAGGTGACAACAGCGTACACTGCAAGCTTAATGCAATTTTCTCATTTGTACATGAAGTAGAGCACTACAGAATTGGCTTTGATCGGGATTACTCCGTTCTCATAAGGAAAAAAAATGCTGCCAATGGTAAAAATAGAAGAGCCTTTTACAAGTGTAAAGTTTTCCAGTCCCATCACAGTAACTTCTAACTAACTAGGAAAATGAAAAATATACTTTTGTGATGAAGAAATTAATTGGAGAACGTATGTGGGTATGATCTGTGCATATGGGTAAACAGTGAGTACATCACATTATTTTTTATATCAGTTCATTTGGTTCTTGTTTTAATGGAAGATGAGTTGAATTCAACTTGGATTAAAAGGAAATCTAAGACTCGATCCTCAGATACATCGTTAGTACTTCCCATCTAAAGTAGTCAGCTTGATTCCAAGAAAGGAAGCTGGAGTTTCCTTTTGTTCACAAACCCAATTACCAACCCAAAGGTCCACAATGTTAGATATATTAGCCAAAGGCCTCTCAGGAGTCCCTTGACAGAGTATAGAAGGTACCCGCCCTCCTAAAGACACTGTCCCTGAGGTTAGTGATACAGAGCATGGAAACATGCCATCGGAGTACACTCTCAAACAGCATCTTACTCAAAGAGAAGCGCCCATCACCGAGGTGAGGGAAAAATTAGAAGAAAGAGGGAGTCCCCGCTTTACAAAATGCCAAGGGTTTTTCCTCTTTGTAAAACAATGGCTGCGTAGGCAGGCACCACGGTGCTTCCCGCTTTGAGGTAGAGCTCCCTCCCACCTCAACATCTGCGTGGTTTCTGAATCTTTTTTAAATCATTGTTGCTGCTGCTGCTCTTACCTTTCTTACATATGAGCAGAGGTCCGATCAGCCCTGAGTTGAAGTCCCGCGTCAGGTCTCCGTAGGAGTAGTAGATGTGTGTCAGGCAGGGAGGGTCGTCCTTGGTGGGCCCGCTGTCCTCGCTGATGACCCACTGATAGATATACTCGTGGCCCGGGGCCACCGCATCATCCATCCTCTCCTCAGGGAACGTGTGGTCAGGGTAAGAAGCACCTGAAGAAACAGTAGCCATGAAGAGGACACATGGAGAACACATGCCTTATCATTTGGGAAGATTCGCATGCATCCAGTTTTCTGCCCACATACTGATAAAGGCTTTGACACCAGGGCGATCTGAGGAATAACTGTTACCAGTTAACTACTTAATCATTAGCAATTGTTTAAATATAATCAGACTGCAGTCGCATTTCATCAGCGAATCAACTTTAGAATATAAGCATTATATTTTTCCCCTATGGCCTCTGAGAAGGCACTTTATACCTATATCATCATTATTTGTAGTTAAATATTTCATAGGTTGTGTAAGTGACTTTTCCTCCTGAAGTATAACTATTTGCATTCTGCTTACTTTGGTTGCTAAAGTGTGAGGCTCAAGGTAAGATTCTGATTGCATTCTTCCTAGAATCTCTGATGCCTTCTCAGAACATGGAATAGAACAGGGTATGCGTGGTGAGGACCATGGAGCATGTGCACAGAGGTAATGCTTGCACATGTTAACTGGCATCCTATTTAGGATTCTAGGAGCTAAGACCAAGATCATCAAATCATTGCTCATGAATGGATTTTGTTAGTCTTTATTAGTATTAAAGTGGACTAGATGCCAACTTTGAAATCTGGAGATATACAAAAGTGGGATGTTGAAGTTTGGGAAGAAAGAATTCAAGAGAAAGGAAGGAAGGAAGGAAGGAAGGAAGGAAGGAAGGAAGGAAGGAAGGAAGGAAGGAAGGAAGGAAGGAGGAAGGAAGGAAGGAAGGAAGGAAGGAAGGAAGGAAGGAAGGAAGGAAGGAAGGAAGGGAAGGAGGGAGGGAGGGAGGAAGGGAGATAGGAAGAGCACTTGCTTGCTTTCTCGCTAGCTGGGGGTGGGTTTCTTTCTAGGTAGCTAGGAGTTTGGCTTAAAATGGTAAAGTACCTGTCTAGAAACTTGAGACCCTAAGTTCAAACTTCAGTGCCCCCCAATTGTTTTAAATTTAAAAAAAACTAAAGATTTGTCATTGTAAATGCAAACTCTTGCATAAAACTGTGTTGGACTGGAGTCTTCTGTGTGCTTGCTTTCTGATGAACTGTTGATGCTATTTTCATCAATTATCCACCTGCTGCTATAGATATCCAAGTCTTCAACCCTTTTGTTAAGTTTAAAGCTTAACATTAAATGTTTTTGTGTCTTTCTTCTTTTAAAAAAAAAAAAGACAGTTTGATACTGACAACCAGCATTTACTACCACTCCAATGAATACAAGATTTGAGTGTTAAAATTATTAGGAGCTGACAGCGCCCAGGCCTAGAGTTCAGCCCCTACGACCGATGCCCCCCCCCCAAAAAAAAAAATCGGAGCTGAGAAGTGACAAGAGCTTAAACAACTTCCCATGACTTATAACATAATTTCAGTATTTTTTCTAAAGTATATGAGAAGACTCTCTTCAGATAAACAGGGAGCTTTATCTCTGGAAAGTTACAAAAGAGCTTTGGAACAAAGCAGACACAGGACCGATAAGGGTCACCCTCTGGGGTCAAGCCTTGTGAATTAACCGGAAGCGCTGCCTCCTCCCTGAGCTTCACCGTTTGAAATGAGCTTGCTGGCCCCTAACCAGGGCTTCCTGCTTTCTGGCCTCATGGGGTTAAAATGAATGTTTTTGGACACCAGGCATCCACTATTATAGCTATGAAAACATTGCAGGGATTCCGACAGAAGAAAACAACATTCTTTCCTTTGCTTTCACGAATTTTCCAAAGTATAAGATGGGACATTATTTTCAGAGCAAACCATAACTTTTTAACTTTCTTCATTTATTTCTCTGGATAAATATATGCTCATTTTTTTAGACGTCAGATTCACTATCAGCTTTGTGAGATCACTCAATTAATGCAGACAGGCTGTGAGGAAAAGCATGGGAACTTTGTGTCTGAGTTGACATGTTTTGTTTTTGCCACCTGTCAAGTGTGTGAACTGGGGAAAGTTTCTTAGTGGCCTTTTTATCTTCTGTTTATTTCTGTTCGTTTTAGCTTCAATTATTCAGATTATAATCCTAAGTATATAATATAATCATATAGTCCTTCTTCTAGAGATGATATCATTGTTGATGGGTTGGGAGAAATGGAAAATACATGTGTATAACATACCTGGCACTTAATAAGTGCTGTGGTATCTATAATAATATATGGTGGTATTTTAGTCAAGTATTTCTTTTTGCTGATACTTTATAGTGTATATAGCTTTAACCTTTGTGTTCGAGATGTACTGAAAATGCTCTTGAGTTCTCTTAACATGTGAGAAAGATTGAAGTTAGTGATGCCTTAGTTCAGGCTAATACAGCCAAGTATTATAGACTGGCATTTCTCTGTATCCTAAATGGTGAGACATTTCTAGAGCTGGAAGCTTAGGATCAGGTTCCAGCATGGGTAAGTTCTGGAAGGGGAGTTCTCATTCTATTTCACAGGGAAGAAAGAGGATGAAAGAATAATTCTTGGGGTCTCCTTTATTAGGAGACTGACCTATCCTGAAGGGTATACCCTCCAGGACAAAGACCCCACCCCCTCATATCATCTCATCAAAGAGTAGGATTTGACATATAAATTTTAGGGAGATTCAAACATCTAGTCTCTTGTAGTAGTGACATATCTACTCTGAAGGTAAAAACCGGTAATAAGATAGCCTACTTGTTCACAACCACCCACAAATTAGCACATTTCCAAGCAAAGAGAAAATAGTTTAGTCTTTATTATTAGTAATTCCTTAATCCTTTAGTTTAGTTCCACAGTCACCACCATCATAATCATTACTGATATGTCAAAGGCACACGTACCAGGTACAAAGTAAATAAGACACATAATGAGTCTGTGAGGGGAACTCGTAGTTAACAATAGATGCATATGTGATATATTTCACCTCTACATCTTACTCAGTCCAGAGGCCACAATCGGGACACCCTTGATTGTCTGGGCAGAGAACCAAACAATATAAACAACTGAGAATTACCCAACGTCCCCAGTGTGACTGATTTTTTCTAATGATTTAAAATGTGTGAATGTCAGTGGTTTATATAGAGGTTTCTTTGAAAATATAGTGAGTTTAAACAATGTTGTATATCTAGCTGTTCCAGTTGCCCACACCTCTAATCCTAGCTACCTAGAAAGCTGAGATCTGAGGCTTAAGGTTCAAAGCCCAGTCAGACAAATCCAAGATAGATTTATCTACCCAGCAAAAAGTGGAATTGGAGGTGGTTTCCAGTGCAAAAAACAGCATAAGCAAAAAGGCCAGTGGGCTGGGAATGTGGCTTCATTGTAGAGTGCTTGTCTAACATGCATGAAGCCTTGGGTTCCATTCCTCAGTACCACATAAACAGAAAAAGGCAAAAGTGGTGCTGTGGGTCAAGTGGTAGAGAGCTAGACTTAACAAGCTCAGTGCCCAGTCCCTGAGTTCAAGTCCCAGGACTGGCAGAAAGAGAAAAGAAAAGAAGAGAAAAGAAAAGAGCCATTTAAGGTTATAAAACCTTGAGTTTAAACCCCAATACCAGCACACACACACACACACACACACACACACACACACACACACACACACACACACACACACACACACACACTGTGTGTGTGTGTACATAACATGATGTTCTGATATACATATAAATATTGAAAAGGTTACTATAGCCATGAATATCCATATAATTGGCCAAAGTAAATCACTCAGAATTAACATATTAGTTAAATGTAAGAAAGTTTTCAAATATTTGAATGGATGATGTTTATTAAGTTTAAAAGGTGAATATTAAAGCATCTTGAAGTGGATTTGTACCTGGGGATATATTCTTTATGTATACAAGTAAGAATTACTATTGATACAGTGACAGGATAATTTTTGGGGGGGGGGGGTCCGGTCATGGGGTCTGAACTCTGGGCCTGGGTGCTGTCCCTCAGCTCTTCAGCTCAAGGCTAGTGCTCTACCACTTGAGCCATAGCACCAGTTCCGGCTTTTTTCTTTTTGCTTATGTGGTGTTGAGGAATCAAACCCAGGGCCTCATGCATGCAAGGCAAGTGCTCTACCACTGAGCTACCTTCCCAGCCCAGTGAGAGGATAATTTTATCACGGCTTTTATGCTTTTCACTTCAAATAATTTTATCTTCCAAATGTAACAGACAGGTTATATTTTCAATTTTTCAGCCCACTAATGTAAGATATGAAATATAAACAGCTATTTAGTGCAATCATTTGTGTCAATGCAGTTTTGGTGAATCTGGTGTTTTGGCTAAGATAAAGAGTAGAACTCTAAACTAAAAAGAGGAGAAGTGCCCAGGAAAGAATATTGTACTATAGCACAGAAAGTCCTTGTTCAGTCTAGAATAAGTTCTTTACACAAAAGGAGTCCTTTATTTTAATATTGCTCAATTCTGTTTACTTCCAGCTCAGCCCATAGCTTTCTAATCTGTTTGTTCTTGTCATGATGTCCTAAGTATTTGCCAAGAGGCTGTCAGTACTTTTTAAATGTAAAATGATGCAGTTCCATGAAAAGAGCCTTTCTGCTCACTCGTTAGGGTGTTCATTCAGCCCTCCCCTGATACTTATTTATGTGATCAACTCTTTCCTCCCCATTGAAACGACTTAGGCAAGAATGCTTCAGTGCAGAGGTTCAGAATGTTCTTTAGAGACTATAATTCAAGGCAGTGGGCAAATGAACATGCTGGTGGTTCTTAAAGTCTTTGATTTTTATTACACAGGGCTCACGCGTCTCTTTTGAAGAAAAATTTACATTCTTGTGGTTTATAAGAATTTTTATACTAAGATTACCATTTCTTATAGGTATTTATTATATATTCAAGGAAGTGTCAATAGAAGCCCAAAATATATAGTAAAAAGGAAAAGAAACCAAAAGAAAAGAAACACAGTCACTTACATTATGTCAATCACTGAAATATTAAAGAAAAATCTAGAAGATTCTTTTTTATAGAGAGTATTTTATAAGACTTAAATGCAAGGAATGGCCTCTAGTGGGGTTTTAAAATCCAGACAACTGGCTTATTAGCAGATGGCTAAATATTATAGAACTAAATTTGTGGTTCAATACTCATGATACAGATCACATTGTTATAATACAAGAATATAAATCAAAGAATAAGATGGCAATTTAAGACAATGAAACAAGCTTTCTAAAGGTAATGACCAAAACAAACTTGAAAATTTTACTGAACAAAGTTTGCTCAAGGGTATGACTTTTCTGTGAATGCTACTTATATATAAACTTCCTAAAATTTAGCTGGCCATTGAGACCTTTTGGGTGATAGAAAAAATTTGCAATGATTAGGCATAGTTACAGATACTCTATTTCCTGACGTTAAAGCATGTTCCTATTAAATACATTTCTAAATGAATTTTAAGTACTTTTGCAAGTCAAAATTTACCTATTTCATCAGAATCAGTAACCCACCTGTTTGCTTTCTAGTACTGTGGTTCTCAAACCTATCATAATTAACTCTCTATACTTAGCTTGGGATCTAATTAATTTATGCCACAAAAATAGCTTAAACTGTGGAGGGAGACTATTGGTGAGGAGATGTGTATTACACTTGGAAAAGGAGATGCATGTGTATGGGCATGTGCGTGTGCGTGTGTGCGCGTGTGTGTGTGTGTGTGTGTGTGCTGGTCCTAGGGCTTGAACTCAGGCCTGTGCACTGTCCCTGACCTTTGTGCTCATGGCTAGCACTCTTGCCAGTTGAGCCACATCTCTACTTTTGTTTTTTTGGTGGTTAATTGAAGATAGAAACCTCACTGCTTTTTCTGCCCTGGCTGGCTTCAAACCATGATCCTCAGATCTCAGCTTCCTGGGTATCTAAGATTATATAGACCTGAACCACCAGTGCCCTGCTGGAAAAGGAGGAATTTTTTAAAGGAACAATATATAATAAAATGAATAGAAAACTAGTCATTTTCTGAAATGTAGACTAGATTTCCAGGATAAAATTTTACTTTCCTTATATGTGAGACCCAAAGCACTACAATGCACCATTAAGAAATCACAAATGAAAAAAGAAAAAGAAAAAAATGGAGGCGGGGGGGGGGGGGGCATGGTTCAAATGGTAGGAGAAAAAAACCCTCATATGAACGCCAAAAGAAGAAAAAGATGTGACAAATTGAAGACGTAGCTGAATCTTAAGCTTTTTTTTTTTTTTTAAGATTGCCAACATAGGGCTGAGTAAACATTCCGGGAAGAGGAATGATGTGGCAAGGTTCTTTCCCTGTGCAAACAGCCTAGCAAGGGCGCAAAGTCCACCACGGTCCCCTCCTCCCATATTTGAAGTGGATCCTGCAAGGGACACTGACATTGGGAGATGTTCCCTTCCTGCTTGCATTGCAGAGCGATTTGCTAATGCAGTTGCCTGGAAACCTCCTGAGCAAGCTAAGCGGCTGCTCATCCTGTCACCGTGTGACATGTGTGACGTTAGGAATGTAGAAGACACACCTGAGGTCTTGCCAGATTAAATACTGAAGATAGATGACAGTCCAGTTAATTTCCCCACAGGGGGGTGTGTGTGTGTGTGTGTGTGTGTGTGTGTGTGTGTGTGTGTGTGTGTGTGTGTGTGTGTGTGTGTGTGTGTGTGTGTGTGTGTGTGTGTGTGTGTGTGTGTGTGTGTGTGTGTGTGTGTGTGTGTGTGTGTGTGTGTGTGTGTGTGTGTGTGTGTGACTCATCGTTTCATACCTGCTAGATAGGTGCTCTACCACTGGAGTCACACCCCCAGTGCTTTTTTGTTTTGTTGTTGTTGTTGTTTTTTGGTTGGTCATGGGGGCTGAACTCTGGGCCTGGGCGCTGTCCCTCAGCTCTTCAGCTCAAGGCTAGTACCCTACCACTTGAACCACAGCGCCACTTCCAACTTTTTTCTTCTTATGTGGTGCTGAGGAATCAAACCCAGGGCCTCATACATGCAAGGCAAGCACTCTACCACTGAGCCAACTTCCAGCCCATGCCTTAATTGTTTTTCAGGCAGAGTTTCATATTTTTGCCCAAGGCTGCCCTCAGGCTCCAAGATCCTGTCACCTATAGTCTTTTCTATAAGTGGGAGCAGAGGCATATACCACCGTGCCCAGCATAGACAATAATTTATATAGGAAATAATACGTGTGAGAATGACTTTCTGACTCACAAATTATCTGGTAAATGTTAAATTATTTGAACACATTTTGATAGAAGAATCTTCTTCACTGTATAAGCTAAAATTTATTGGATGCTTATTATATGCTAGGCATTTTTCTGAGGTTTCATGATAATAAACCTGTATGAGAGATCTGTATGATAAACCTGTATGAGAGATCTGTATGATTACTCTTCTAGTTTCAAAGGTGAGAGAATCAAGACACAGAGAGGTAGAATAACTTCCCAAAAGTGATAAAGCTAAGGGTCAAGATAAGATTTCCACTGGATAGTCTAGTCTATAAGACTACACTATAAACTAGTTTGCTACTGCTTCAAATATATGATGGTTGGAATATATGGGAGAAGGGGAGGTCATCTGTGAAACATGAGAAGTCTGACTTGGTTTTAAGGTGTTCTTATTCTAACAATTACAAAATTGCACTATAGACTATTACAACAACTGCCCTTATTTCAACAACTGGTACAATTATTTTTTATAGCAGTCCTTGACAGAACTTAACTCTGAATACTGTAATCAGAACAGCAGGAATAATCAGAACAATGTAAACAAAGGCTCTTACTATCCCATGGCTGATACAGTCACCTGCATTAATTACCATTATCTTCATGGTCATTGCTATCATTATCATCATGCAGTCTCTGTTGTTTATGGGAGGCTTATCAAGTCATAGGAAGCATGAGATCACCTGAATGATCTCATTTAATCCTCAAACCTATCTTGAGGAGTGAGTATAGCCACTTGCATTTTATAAAGAGAACTAAGATTAAGAGATGTTAAAGTCACAGATTCAGGGGCTGGGAAGGTGGCTCAGTGGTAGAGAGCTTGCCTTGCATGCATGAGGCCCTGGGTTCAATTCCTCAGCACCACATAAGCAGAAAAAAAGCTGGAAGTGGCGCTGTGACTCAAGTAGTAGAGCGCTAGCCTTGAGCTGAAGAGCTGAGGGACAGCACCCAGGCCCAGAGTTCAGGCCCCACAACGGACTGAAAAAAAAAGTCATAGATTCAGAAGCTATAATGCTAGAATTTGAACCTAAGTTTTTCTTTAAAGCTAAGTCTTTCTTTAAAGCTATGTTCTTAACTACCGCACTATGCCCAAAATTCCAAAACTATGTCTAGTACCATCACCATCAAATGCCACTTACTGACTGTCATTACTGTGCCAAACCAACCCTGTCAGGCTAGTCAAATATCACCGTGTCAATGACTTAAGGGCTCAATTCAGCTAGCTGCCAGCTGCTGTAAACAAAGTTTTATTGGAACATAACCTTATGCATTCATTTACTTATTCACCCTGGCTGCTTTTATGCTAATAGACAGAGTTAAGTAGTTACCATGAGATGCTGTTGTCTGCTAAGCAATTTACTGGTAGCCTTTTTTTTTTTTTTGCCGGTCTTGGGGTTTGAACTCTGGGCCTGGGCACTGTCCCTCAGCTCTTCAGCTTAAGGCAAGCACACTACCACTTGAGCTACAGCGTCACTTCCAGTTTTCTGGTGGTTTATTGGAGATAGGAGTCTCAGGGTCTTTCCTGTCCGGGCTGGCTTTGATCTCAGCCTCCTGAGTAGCTAGGATTACAGATGTGAGCCACTGGCGCCCAGCTATGGTAGCCTTTTTTTAACAGAAACCTTCGCTGACCCTTGCCTTAAACCTTCTTACAATATAGTATTATTATTCCTAACTTAAAGGTGAACATATTAGACTTTAGAGAGATCAGGTAATTTGCCACTCAAATATTAAGATACATGAAATGTAACAAAACCTGAAATCTAGATGATTCCAAATGCCCTTTTTCATGTCTGATACTTACAAAGGCAATGATATGCATAAGAACAATGGGTAGAAAGGAGAGTTCTCTGACAACAGGAGGCCAGCAGTTATCAGTCTGTGACAATGGAATCCAAGAGTTGTATATTTTCTCTTGCTGGAGGGGCAACACATCCCTCTTACCTTCTGAGAGTTTACTGTATCTAATTCCTTGAGGGTGGATGCTTACAGGCTTGTCAGCCTTGTTTTTGAAGTGAACTTTCAAGGTATCTCCAACTTCAGCATATAAAGTAGGCCCAAGAAGTCCTATGGAACAAAAATTTTAAGTCAGCAGTGTTTAGGATCATCAAAGACAGGGCTGTTAAGAAATAAGAGTATTCAAGAAACCCCTAAAGTGATTGCTGTCATTCTTCCTGATCCTAAAGGTGACCTGCTTCTCTGAAGTCTGAAGTCTAGAAGACTTTGCCAACTCTAGCTGCATTATGGTAATCCTATTTTTAAAAAATGGGAGGATAAAATCTTTGGCCTAAACTCAAAGCAATTCAAGAGTAAAAGAAATAGTTCTAACCAAAAACAACCCACCATAATAACTGTATTTTCTTAAAAAAAAAAAAAAAGACTATTATCCATATTGTCAAAAGAAGAGATCATTTTCAATTATGCAGGAGATGTGAGGGACTGGTTACCTTACATTTTACCAAAGTGGGAACCTCAGAGACCTCAATGAAGTAAAAGAGCAAATCACATAGATCTCTAGTCCCGGGGAAAGTTCAAAATCCCTTAACTAGAAGTGAGCTTAATGAATCTAAAGAAAATAACAAGCAGGAAGAAGGAGACAAGAGAGAGATGTGAAGGGCGAGGTTACCCAGTCTCTGTGAAAGACTTTGGATTTTCTTCCAAAAACAGCGGCAAATTGCTGGATCTTTGTGCAAATGAGGTATGGTTTGACATGTGTACTCCTCTGAGGAAAGAAGTGTTCATCTGTGTATAGTCTGTGTAGTGACTATAGACTGTGTATAGTCTGCGTAGTAACTATAGACTGTGTATAGTCTGTGTAGTGACTATAGACTGTGTATAGTCTGCATAGTGACTATAGACTGTGTATAGTCTGCGTAGTGTCTATAGACTGTGTATAGTCTGTGTAGTGACTATAGACTGTGTATAGTCTGTGTAGTGACTATAGACTGTGTATAGTCTCTGTAGGGTCTATAGACTGTGTATAGTCTCTGTAGGGTCTATAGACTGTGTGTAGTCTGTGTAGTGGCTATAGACTGTGTGTAGTCTCTGTAGTGACTATAGACTGTGTATAGTCTGCGTAGTGACTATAGACTGTGTATAGTCTGCGTAGTCACTATAGACTGTGTATAGTCTGTGTAGTGACTATAGACTGTGTATAGTCTGCGTAGTGACTATAGACTGTGTATAGTCTGCGTAGTGACTATAGACTGTGTATAGTCTGCGTAGTGACTATAGACTGTGTATAGTCTGCGTAGTGACTATAGACTGTGTATAGTCTGCGTAGTGACTATAGACTGTGTATAGTCTGCGTAGTGACTATAGACTGTGTATAGTCTGCGTAGTGACTATAGACTGTGTATAGTCTGCGTAGTGACTATAGACTGTGTATAGTCTGCGTAATGTCTATAGACTGTATAGTCTGTGTAGTGACTATAGACTGTGTATAGTCTGTGTAGTGACTATAGACTGTGTGTAGTCTCTGTAGTGTCTATAGACTGTGTGTAGTCTGTGTAGTGGCTATAGACTGTGTGTAGTCTCTGTAGTGACTATAGACTGTGTATAGTCTGTGTAGTGACTATAGACTGTGTATAGTCTGCGTAGTCACTATAGACTGTGTGTAGTCTGTGTAGTGACTATAGACTGTGTATAGTCTGCGTAGTGACTATAGACTGTGTATAGTCTGCGTAGTGACTATAGACTGTGTATAGTCTGCGTAGTGACTATAGACTGTGTATAGTCTGCGTAGTGACTATAGACTGTGTATAGTCTGCGTAGTGACTATAGACTGTGTATAGTCTGCGTAGTGACTATAGACTGTGTATAGTCTGCGTAGTGACTATAGACTGTGTATAGTCTGCGTAGTGACTATAGACTGTGTATAGTCTGCGTAGTGACTATAGACTGTGTATAGTCTGCGTAGTGACTATAGACTGTGTATAGTCTGCGTAGTGACTATAGACTGTGTATAGTCTGCGTAGTGACTATAGACTGTGTATAGTCTGCGTAGTGACTATAGACTGTGTATAGTCTGCGTAGTGACTATAGACTGTGTATAGTCTGCGTAATGTCTATAGACTGTGTATAGTCTGTGTAGTCACTATAGACTGTGTATAGTCTGTGTAGTGACTATAGACTGTGTATAGTCTCTGTAGTGTCTATAGACTGTGTGTAGTCTGTGTAGTGGCTATAGACTGTGTGTAGTCTCTGTAGTGACTATAGACTGTGTATAGTCTGTGTAGTGACTATAGACTGTGTATAGTCTGCGTAGTCACTATAGACTGTGTATAGTCTGTGTAATGACTATAGACTGTGTATAGTCTGTGTAGTGACTATAGACTGTGTATAGTCTGTGTAGTGACTATAGACTGTGTATAGTCTGTGTAGTGACTATAGACTGTGTATAGTCTGTGTAGTGACTATAGACTGTGTATAGTCTGTGTAGTGACTATAGACTGTGTATAGTCTGTGTAATGTCTATAGACTGTGTATAGTCTGTGTAGTGACTATAGACTGTGTATAGTCTGCGTAGTGACTATAGACTGTGTATAGTCTCTGTAGTGTCTATAGACTGTGTGTAGTCTGTGTAGTGGCTATAGACTGTGTGTAGTCTCTGTAGTGACTATAGACTGTGTATAGTCTGTGTAGTGACTATAGACTGTGTATAGTCTGTGTAGTGACTATAGACTGTGTATAGTCTGTGTAGTGACTATAGACTGTGTATAGTCTGTGTAGAGGCTATAGACTGTGTATAGTCTGTGTAGTGACTATAGACTGTGTATAGTCTCTGTAGTGACTATAGACTGTGTGTAGTCTCTGTAGTGGCTATAGACTGTGTATAGTCTGTGTAGTGACTATAGACTGTGTATAGTCTGTGTAGTGACTATAGACTGTGTATAGTCTGTGTAGTGACTATAGACTGTGTGTAGTCTGTGTAGTGACTATAGACTGTGTATAGTCTTTGTAGTGAACTGAGTAAAAGCAGAGATCTGATAGCGTAGGACTGAGATGGTGATTTATTGGGTCAGCATGTGTAGCTGTGAAAAGATGAGAGTGATAGGATTTCTGGACACATTTGAAAGTAAAGCCAACAGGAACTCGTGATGAATCACACAGGGCACCTGAAAGAGGAAAGCTAAGGATGACCTCAAGATATCTGATTTGAGAAGCTGGTAAAAAAAATCAGTTACATGACAGGGAACAAGCCGGGAGCAGGCTAAGTAAGCAGATATCCGGAGAAAGATTCTTCTTGCTACGTGCCAAACACTGTGCTGGACTACAAAGAGTTCCTCTGCCAGGAGCTCTCAAAGCTAGTCTGTACATAGACATACACTGCAGGAGCTCCCGGGGCAATATTGAACAGAAGCTAAGGGAGCAGACGGGATACAGAAACAAATCTGTCAGGGGAGTTAACTGAAAAGTTTATATCTGAGTCCAGGTTTTGAAGAATCACACACTAGAAATCCTCAAAATGTAGTCCGTGAGGTCTCCATTTCAGAATAACTTAAAAGAAAGTTTCCTGGTTACCACGACATCCCCAGATCTGAGATGGACCTCATGAATCTGTACTTCAATGCTTGCTCACTCCCATGTGATTCTGCGTCCATGAATGCTTGGAGATCTATCACCAAAGCCCCACCTCAGACAAATGACAGGGATCAGCTGCTCTGACTTCCAAGCTATCTATGAATCCTCGTGAGATTTGCTTCAGCGTTAGGATTCGTAGGAGCTCAGGGGGGAAGTTACCATGGTTATGGAGTTCCACCATTAATTGTTTGCAGTGGTGATAATTCGGACAGGACTTCCACCTGAGCACTATAAAACCTTAAGTTAATTCTCAAAATAATTTTAAGATAGATATTAAGAGCCTCCTATTACAGCTGAGAAAGCTGAGCTTCAGAAAATTTAAATATCTTGTCCAGGCTCACAAAAATAATAAGAGGGAAAAGTCATAATTTAAACTTATATCTTTATATCTGTGTGACTCTTAGGGAACTTTAAGCCATTTCATTATATCACACCCTTCACTTTGTATTCATTCATTTAAAAAAATATATTGATTGCCAGACTCTGGTGGCTCATGCTTATAATCCTAGCTACTCAGGAGGCTAAGATCTGAGGAACATGATTTGAAGCCATCCCGGTCAGGAAAGTCCTTTAGTCTCCAATTATGCACCAGAAAAGCAGGAAGTGGAGCTGTGGCTCAAATGCTAGAGCACTAGCCTTGAGCAAAAAAGCTCAGGGACGGTGCTTTGAATTCGAGCTGGCACACAAAAAAATGACTGCTCACCATTGTCCTAGGTGTCATAATTTCAGTGGTAGATAAGCATAAAATAGATACACTCCCAAAATGTATCCAGTGGAGTTTATAGCTAGTAGGAAAGCCAGATTTTAACAAATGTTCATATAAATATTTAATTTAAAACTGTGGTGTTATGAAAGGGAAGTATAAGCTGCTGGGAAGAGAATTTGGTAGAGGGATCTAATTTAACTTTGGAGCCAGGAAGAGTGTGAGAGTAAGGAAAACATGCTCCTTAGGTAGTGATACTTTCCCTGAGATCAAAGGCACAGAGGCAAAGAGATGGAGAGTGAGATTAGTGTGTACAAAGACCCTGAGATTTCAGGAAACTCGGCCTGTTCAGATAATAGATAGATGGCCATAAAAGATCTTCATAGTAAGAAAAAGGGGGAAAGGCAAAGCTGAAGTCATAACTGCAGCCCAATACTTCAGGCCTTTTTAGAGTTTTGTCTTTAATAATAATCAGAGGCCACTGAAGTTTTCAGGAAGGTGTAGATTTTTATTTTCACATCTCTAGCTGGTTTCTCTAGGAGAAACCAGAGTGTATGGGAGAGAAGGCTGTTTGAGAGATGTTGGAAAGATGGAGGATATAGTGGTAGAGATGATGAGGAAAGAATATATTAGATATTTAGGAGGTATTTTCAGGACTTCCTAATGGTTTAGCTATGAAGTAGAAAGTGAGGAAGACCAAGTTGTTATGGACAGCCAGTGAGATTCTAGTTCTGGGTACCAGGTATGTCAAAGGGCTTTTCCCTGCAGCAGAAGATGATGTGTGAAGATTTCGTTTGGTGGATGTAGTAAACAAAGTAATGTCCCCTCCCCTCAGATAAGCCCATGTTTTAATACCTAGGATCCATGAATATACAGGACAGAATATGCAGATAGGACTCTTGCACGTGTGATCAAATTAAAGATCTTGAGGGATGGAGATTTTTCTGGGTTATCAGATAGGACCGGTGTAACCACAAGAGACCCGTAAGAGAGATGTAAGAGAAATTTAGAAAGAGATTGGATGATGGCTTTGTGATGGAAGGGGCTTTGAGCCAATGAATATAGACAGCTTCTAGGAAACAAAAAGGGCAAGGAAACACTTTTCCTCTTCAACCTCCAGAAGTAACACAGCTTTGCCAACACCTTGATTTCAACCCAGCAAAACTCTTTTTAAACTTGCAACCTGTAGAACTATAACAATAATGGGATAAACAAGTGTGTGTTGTTTTAAGGCGTTACATTTTTGGGAATTGGCTATAGCAGCAAGACTAACCATAATCTCAAGAGAAGAAGCCCTGTTTCTTACACCTACCCTCCTAGCTACCATTATGTTATTATTTTTTTCTTAACTAAACTCCTTGTCCTAGTGTTTCATACATTCTTGTGCCTAAAGCCTCTTGTTTGTTCATTTTGATGTTAGCTCTGCACAGGACCATGGAGGCCACACCATTCCTCATGTTAGAGGTGGCTAAGAAAACCTGGGAGGTGTGTATGGGGCCAAGATGGCTTGCCCATGGTCAATCTATATGACTCAGTGGAACAACACAGGTCTTTAAATCCTCGAGACAAACCTTTCTCCATTACCTCCCACGAAGCACGTTCAAACCCTCATCTTCCCAGAATAATCCAGATGTTTGGAGCCCTGACCCTATCTGATGATACTGCCCAATCTTGAGTCTAGATGCTGCTTTCTATCTTGGTTCTCATGGAAACTCTTGTGCCATTCCCGCCTGCCTGGGTCGCCCGGGAGCCAAGTACGCAGTGACAGTGCTGTCACATGGTATGCTGCATTTGTTGGCATGAGTCCTTGCTTGGTCGAGTTGTGAGTTGGCATCGTATGAGTGCGAAGGCAGATGCCCAGAATAAGCCTCGTAAATCATTAACCTAATGAGACTTCATGTTTCAATGGACATTGGCATGTTTATTCAGCCTCCATCCTGCTTCTTTAGAAACAAGGAAAGACGAAGTGCAAAATGTATACTATATTTCAATATATTATATATGTTGATATATGATATATTTTAAATTTTATAAATGCAAGTCAAATACTTTAGCATGTAGGCAAACACATGAGTGATATTTTTTTGAATTGCTCTTTTGCCTCTCCATTAACCATATTTCCTTAACCCTTTGCAGCCTTCTTCTTGGTGAAGAAGTGAAAATAAGTAGGTCATGGCCCAGACCCAATAAAAGGCAAGACCTATCTCAAAAATAACCAAACTGAAGAGCACCTGCCTAGCAAGCATGAAGGCTTAAGCTCAAATCCTACTACCACCAAAACCAAGAAATCATTAGACTTCTTAAAGCACAAAACAGAATTCTTGAAAATGAGTCTGGTCCCTCCATCTATCCAGATGTCCATAAACCCTATTGGACACGCATCTTCAGAATTCTGCCTGGCAGCCCAGCTCCTACCTGCACACACAGTAACGTCTGGGCTCATGCTACTAAAGGGAGGTACCATGACTTGTTCAGGACCTCCGCTAGAATCATATGTAGCAGATGGCTGGAACAGCAAATAGGTCAAAGATACAAGTGACAAGGATTAGGCTGGGGAACAGGAGTTACCATGAAGTTAATGACAGTGGTTACATACAGCTTTTTTTGTTGTTGTTGCAATCAAATCTGAGGCTTTGCTTTCAGAGAAACTCTGCCTCCTTCTCTTAACTCCAACCAGGGATGAACAGGATCCTGTACTCTATTTCAGAGGAGTTCAAGAGAAGGCTGCACAGAAATGCATGTTAGAATTCCTTAGTCCTAAAACAAATACATCCCAGAGTCTACAGCCGCTGACAGAAAGGTAATGATTGAAGTGAAAAGGGCTTAAGCATAAATCGCAGGCTGTTTATATCAACTCTCAAGGTCTTTTTCTGATTAATAAGGTTAACTCAGGAATTCACCACAGAAGTTCATCCTCTGAAAGGGTTTCCCTCACAATACTTTCCTCTTCAAAAGCTACCAGTGCTTCCTTGTTGTTGCTTAAAAGGGTCCAGACTTGCATTGGGCCTTTCTGCCCCCGTGACACTGAGAACAATGTCTTCCCTAGCACAGGCATAACATTTGGTTGACTTGACTGAAGCCATAGGTAGCTTCAACTACCTACCCTAGGCCTAAGGAACATGCTTGCTAGATCATTCCCCACTTTGCCCACCTATGATTTAATCGAATCGTTCTTAATATTCTACTGTACATGCTAAGCTTGGAGTTTCAGCATTAAAATGAATAAACTCTGTGGTAGAGAGGAGAAGACTCTTCAACTTTCTGTCCACAACTACAAATGTAATTTCACGGACAACCTTACTGTCCTCCCCTGACCCACAATAAAAGTAGGAACTCTTTTTTTATCTACCACTAACTTAGCTCAAGCTTTGAGTGCCTTTGAATTCCAAGGTCCCTCACTCCCTTGCAGAACTACCCTGTTTCTCATCCCGGTTTTTCAAAAGAATTGTGCATAATTCTGACTGCTTCCGTTTCCCCATTTCCATTCTCTCTTTAACCCTTGCCACGTGATGGCCCTTACTACTCCCTGACCAAAGGCAGCGAAGCGTTTTTGGTCCCCCTGTGAATCGTTCTTGGTGACCCTTGATTCCAGGACACCGCATTCCCTTGCTTCCCCTGTTCTTTCTGGGCAAACTTTCTCAAGCTCCTTGGTGACCTTTTCCTTCTTTGCATATCCTTTGGACCTTGCTCCTTTGAGCTCTGTCTACACTTGTGTATTCTCACCCTCTCTTGAAGCATCATTTACCACCTTAATGATGGGGTCTCCCAATTTTGATATCTAGTTCAAATCTTGCTCCTAAAAAACAAACTTGCATATCTGTCTGTGCAGTTGTCAGTATTACACAGGCCCTGCACAGACATCTTGAACTCCAAATCTGAGCTCATTAGCTTCCTTCAAAAGCCTTCTCTTTTTCCTAAATTTTCCTTCCATTCTTCTGCTTAAAACCTATGAAGACCATCATTATTCCTCTCTCGTATTCATTATCAGCATCCTGCTTAGTTGATTTTAGTTTCTAAATATCTTTGGACACTCTTCTTATCTAGACTGACACCAAAATGCTCAAACTAGTTTCTTGGGCTCTGGACTTGTCTATCTAAAGAAGAAATATTAGTCTCTCCCTCTTGCTTAACTCCTTTCAATGAGTCCTGACTTCCCTCAAGAAAAAGCCCTAACCACGCAGTTCCCTTATCTGGTTGTGTTCCTCCTCTAGTTGTATCACTTGCTAGTTCTGGCTTGTGTGATTGTTGCCCCCGCCAGGCTGATCCTGTCATAGTCCCCTGAATGCACCATACACGCTCACCTCCTAGCCTGTATATACTGTGTCCTGGACCTAAATGCATCTTTAGGAAAGGGGACTAAGTATAAGAAAGAGGAATAGAGGAATCGACAGGCAAACACAGGCACTGACATTTTTATCATAGCAACTGCAAGGGACTCAATCATATTTGAGCACCTTAGAGAAGAGATGTAATAAGAGGAAATGTAGAGAATGATGTAGACTCCTCACCCAGGAAATCAGTAGCGAAGAAAAGGTGAAAAAGCAAGAGGAAATAGATTTGTTTTTCTTTATCTAGTTAAGTATTTGTCTGAGTGTGCTTTTGTTTTGCTTTGTTCTTATTGATTTTTGACTGGAATGATGACTCAGTCCAAGAAGGATTACAGATTAATAGACATGAGAGGAGGAGGGACAGACTGATGAGTAGGAAAGAGGTAGAGGGAGAGTCCAGGAGCTCTGACAGACATTCGCCTGATTTGGAGAAGGATGGATGAATTGTGGGTAGGAGGATCCAATGAGAAGAGGCCCTCCCTTCATTCCTGTGAAAATGCGTCCATATTTAAGATTCTAAAACCCTAATCAACCTAGCCTCCTTGATTAAAGATGACAGGAAGAAAAATGAAGATTTTCTTTTAAAAAAATTGCTTGGTGGGTTCATACATAATTATTTAAAACAATATTTAAATGCATATATATTCAAAGGAAAATAGATAAATGACAATACACAGAGAATAGACAATGGCTGAAGGAATACATACACATTGAGATCCACAATACTGTAAGATATATGATCATTCTGTGGATCAAATGATCAAAAAGTCATTGTGTTAAGCACATCTGTGCTTCTTTTTTTTTTTTTTGGTCCTGGGGCTTGAACTCTGGGCTTGGGCACTGGCGAGCGCTCTACCGCTTGAGCCACAGCACCACTTCTGGTTTACTAGTGGTTTATTGGAGATAAGAGTCTCACAGACTTTCCTGCCCAGGCTGGCTTTGAACTGGGATCCTTAGATCTCAGCCTCCTGAGTAGCTAGGATTACAGGCGTGAGCCACCCGCGCCCGGCTTATCTGTGCTTCTTCCTAAACTAGACCACTGAATATCATTACAATTGCATTCTGTGTCTGTTTTTGACAACGGGTAAACATAGATGGCTTCATGGATATCGTGACTTGTGAAATGTCCCAGGACTCCAGCTCAGAAGGGCTGCTGTCTGGCTTAATCCTTGTGCACCAAGCTCACATATTATATAGTCAGTATTGTTTGAAAACAACAGTTTTACAAAATGACACTAAGTGGATATTTAGATACAAATAAATATCACATTATCTAAAGAAAGTTATCATTTAAAAGTAAAAAATGTTTCAGGCTTACCTGAAATGCTTGATCGTGGTTTTTCCTTCTTAAAATATGCCTCATACTCTCTATAGATGATTTTTTTAAAGGATGTTGTAGAAGAATTCAAACTGGAAACAAAACACAAAAATATGAAAGAAATATGGCAGCTACTCAGGTTACAAAAAAGTCAACCTTATACTCAGATATTTAATAAAATGATAGTATTTTATTATATTTTAGAAACCCCAGGTTTTATATAAAGACAATGAAATAACTATTGATATCTTCAAAAATAGTCTGTTGTGACAAACAATTGTTTTCCTCACAAATTCAGCTGTTCTAGCATTTTCTCAGGATAAATTTTCTAAAAAGGAAATTAAAATCATCATGTGAACTCAGACTCTAGGTTTAGATTAACCGTACAAGTGATGGTCAGGTGCTAGTGGTTCACAATTGCAATTCTAGCTACTCAGGAGGCTGAGATCTGAGGATTGAGGTTTGAAGGTAGGTGGAACAAAAAAAAAATCTATGATATTCATATCTCCAGTAAAAAAGCCAGAAATGGAGATATGGTTCATGTGGTATGGTGGTAGTCTTGAGTGGAAAAATACAAGCCGAGTGGCTTCAAGCCCCGGTACCAGCACATGTGCGCAACAAAGTTTGAAACATTATAAAATTATTTATAAGTAAATATGTGAGCTCTTTTCAAACTAGCCAATCAAATCTAGGTTAATTTTTTTTCTACATCTTAGAATACAATTTTAATTTACTGAGAAACCTTGTGAATTGGCCCTATTGCTAGTTGAGAAGATAGGGGTGCATAATAGTGGCATAAGGGATTCATATGGGAAGCAAATAAATGCAAGTGCCATCTGAGAAAAATTAAATAATCTTTTCTTTTTGGAGGTGCTGAGTTTGAAATCAGAACCTCATAATTGCTAGGCCAATGCTCTACCACTTGCGCCACAGAGCCTTAGCTCTGCTTTATGCTGCTTGTTTTGCTGTTGTTTTGGAGATAGAGCCTGGTGAGTTTTTCTGCCTAGAACTAGCCTCAAACTCTGATTCTCCAAATCTCAGCCTGCTGAGTAGCCAGACTTATAGGCATAGGCTACTAGCACCTAGCTTCAATAACCTCTAGATTAAAGATAGAGACAAGAGACAAAAAGATTAAACGATTTCCTCTCCTTTATCCTGACCCAGATAAGAACCGTTTTACAGTATTCTTTACTTTTAGGTTGAATGGAGTCCTCGAGTATAACAACTATGGTACCATATTTCACAGAACAGTGGAGGCCTTTAGGAGAGAACTTCCTTCAGCTGAGTTCTCTTGTCCATTACCCATCTTTCCTTCCTATTCAGATAAAAACCAACCAAGATCATATACTGTTATTATAATTCTTTTTAGAACTGGTCCCTAACTTGGGATCCTTTGACCTATACTTATCCATTTTATTTCCGTAAGCATAGCAAGTTAAAGAGAAGCCAACAGCTAAATGTTTATTTTACTCACAAGTAGGCAAGATGAATATAATCAAGAATGCATCTTTAAGGTTCTGGGGTGAAATGATATAACACCTGCCTAACAAGTGCATGGCCCTGACCTCAAATAAACAAGAAGTTCCAAAGGCATGGCTGAAGTGGTTGGACACGACTAACAAGCTTATGAAGTCCTGAGTTCAAACCCTAGTACCACCAAAACAAAAAACAAAGAATACTCTTTTCTGAGTATTGGTGTAACTTAGACGATCACCTTAAGGTGAAATATATAGAATAATCTTGTTAAAGGAAGGATTTATTATAAAAGTAAAATGGTATGTAATTCCCTTCAAGATAGTTTAGTAACAAAAAGTTTTCAAAAGGTTAATGTAATAAACTAAAAGCCTTTCTACTGTTACATGATTGCTTGGCCGATTGCTGTGGTTTTGTAACTGGAAAAGAGGAACACATCTTTCACAATCCTCTAAACTTTATGCTAAGCTTTAAAAAAAAATGAGTCACACTAGGAGGTTTACTATTTGAAATAAAACACGTAACTGGAAATATTGAATAAATCTTAAGAATTTCTGAGAATCCTTCCTTGTCATTTTTCAACTATAAAAATGATGATTGTAGTTGATTAAGTTTTCACTTTTTTTTTTCTTCCGTTGGTCCTGGGGCTTGAACTCTGGGCTTGGGCACGGTCTCTACGCTCTTCAGCTCAAGGCAATTGCTCTACTGCTTGATCCACAGTGCCACTTCTGGTTTTCTGTGGTTTATATTGGAGATAAGAGTCTCATGGGCTTTCCTGCCTAGGCTGGCTTTGAACCACGATCCTCAGATCTCAGTCTCCTGAGTAGCTAGGATTATAGGCGTGAGCCACCAGCATCGGGCTTAAGTTTTCACATTTTTTGAGTAACATATACCATTTAATAGTAACCTTACCAAAATACCCAGGATAAATTGTATTCTAAGAAGTGGTTTAAAGTGAGAAAAACTGAGGTCACATTAAACATCCACAAATTAGTCAAATATGAAACAGATAAAAGACAAAGTTGCAAGTATTGTATTTCCATGGTGTTATAAGAAAGTAACACAATAATGGAAACAATTGTTCAATTATCTGCTTATAATAAAGTACAAACTGCACCTCTTTCCTTTTAAATGATGAAAGCTGCATAGACCATAAAATAAGTAAGAGCTAGAAATTTCATGAAAAATATGAGACCACTTAAGCAGTAGTTTGCAGGAAGACTCAGTAGGGAGCTAGAGCTGAGTACCTCTTTTGAACCAATCAATATATCAAGACAATTATCAGCCACACTAAACAAATTATACTACAGAAACCCCAAAATTTTGTGCAGAAAGACGCATCTAACCCATCGACCCGAATCTTCCCTCCCTACAGCTTTTCCACCAGTTAATTGTGTTCATGATACTTTATAAACTGCAGCGCTTACTTGAGTGGTATGAAAGAGAAGTAGGGGGAGAGGGGGGAGAGAGGGAGGAAGGAAGGGGGGAGAGAGGGAGAGGGAGAGAGAGAGGGAGGGAGAGGGGGGAGAGGGAGAGAGAGAGGGAGAGAGAGGGGGGAAAGGGAGAGAGAGAGGGAGGGAGAGGGGGGAGAGGGAGAGAGAGAGGGAGAGGGAGAGATGGAGGGAGAGAGAGGGGGAGAGGGAGAGAGAGAGGAAGGAGAGGGAGAGGGAGAGAGGGAGGAAGAGGGAGAGAGGGAGGGAGAGGGAGAGAGAGGGAGAGAGAGAGGGGAAGAGGGAGAGAGGGGAAGAAAAGGAAAGAGACAGAGAGGGGGAGGGGGGAAGGTGGGAGAGAGGGAGAAAGGGAGGGAGAAAGAGGGGGAGAGGAAGACAGGCAGAGGGAAAGAAAGAGGGGGAGACAGAGGCAGGGAGGGGGGCAGGGGCAGGGAGGGGGCAGGGGCAGGGAGGGGGGCAGGGACAGGGAGGGGGGCAGGGGCAGGGAGGGGGGCAGGGGCAGGGAGGGGGCAGGGGCAGGGAGGGGGGCAGGGGCAGGGGCAGGGAGGGGGCAGGGGCAGGGAGGGGGGCAGGGGCAGGGGCAGGGAGGGGGCAGGCGCAGGGAGGGGGACAGGGGCAGGGAGGGGGGCAGGGGCAGGGGCAGGGAGGGGGACAGGGGCAGGGGCAGGGAGGGGGACAGGGGCAGGGGCAGGGAGGGGGCAGGCGCAGGGAGGGGGCAGGCGCAGGGAGGGGGACAGGGGCAGGGGCAGGGAGGGGGACAGGGGCAGGGAGGGGGACAGGGGCAGGGGCAGGGAGGGGGGACAGGGCAGGGAGGGGGGCAGGGGCAGGCTCGTACGCACACAGCGAAGCCCTTGAGGCGCTGGGGCGCACCCGGTGAAGTCACCTTGGCTGCGGGGTCTCGGGCCGGTAGCTCCAGGCCACGTCCTGCGCAGCCACGTAGAACGTCCGCACCAGCGCCTCGGCCCGGCGGCCTCCGCAGCCCGCCCAGCCGGCGCCCAGGACCACCAGGACCCAGAGGCGCGGGCCGGCCAGGAGCATGGTTCCGTGCGGCCGCGGCCGGCTGTGCGCTGCGGCTGTGAGCTGCGGCTGTGCGCTGCGCGGGCGCGAGCTCCCCGGCGACGGCGACGGTGACGTCCGGGCTCTGCCCCCCCCCCCCCCCGCCCCGGGGCCGGCCCAGCCCGCCGGTGACCAGCAACTGAGGGACTGTCCCCGCAGGCCGGGCGGAGGAAGGGAGCAGCCTGCGGGGCGCGCGGGGTCCCCGTCCACACCGCACCGACGGGGTCCCCGTCCACACCGCACCGACGGGGTCCCCGTCCACACCGCACACCGCGCGGGGTCCCCCTCCACACCGCACACCGCGCGGGGTCCCCGTCCACACCGCACAGCGAGGGGTCCCCTCCACACCGCACAGCCAGGGGTCCCCGTCCACACCGCACACCGCGCGGGGTCCCCGTCCACACCGCACACCGCGCGGGGTCCCCTCCACACCGCACACCGCGCGGGGTCCCCTCCACACCGCACCGCGCGGGGTCCCCGTCCACACCGCACACCGCGCGGGGTCCCCGTCCACACCGCACAGCCAGGGGTCCCCGTCCACACCGCACACCGCGCGGGGTCCCCGTCCACACCACACACCGCGCGGGGTCCCCTCCACACCGCACACCGCGCGGGGTCCCCTCCACACCGCACCGACGGGGTCCCCGTCCACACCACACAGCGAGGGGTCCCCTCCACACCACACAGCGCGGGGTCCCCTCCACACCGCACACCGCGCGGGGTCCCCTCCACACCGCACACCGCGCGGGATCCCCTCCACACCGCACCGACGGGGTCCCCGTCCACACCGCACACCGCGCGGGGTCCCCTCCACACCGCACACCGCGCGGGGTCCCCTCCACACCGCACCGACGGGGTCCCCGTCCACACCACCCAGCGAGGGGTCCCCTCCACACCGCACACCGCGCGGGGTCCCCTCCACACCGCACCGACGGGGTCCCCGTCCACACCGCACCGCGAGGGGTCCCCTCCACACCGCACAGCGGACGGGGTCCCCGTCCACACCACCCAGCGAGGGGTCCCCTCCACACCGCACAGCTGTGCCGGGTCCCCGTCCACACCGCACACCGCGCGGGGTCCCCGTCCACACCGCACCGCGCGGGGTCCCCGTCCACACCGCACACCGCGCGGGGTCCCCGTCCACACCACACACCGCGCGGGGTCCCCGTCCACACCGCACAGCTGTGCCGGGTCCCCGTCCACACCGCACACCGCGCGGGGTCCCCGTCCACACCGCACAGCGGGCGGGGTCCCCGTCCACACCACCCAGCGAGGGGTCCCCGTCCACACCGCACAGCGCGCGGGGTCCCCGTCCACACCACACACCGCGTGGGGTCCCCGTCCACACCGCACAGCTGTGCCGGGTCCCCGTCCACACTGCACACCGCGCGGGGTCCCCGTCCACACCGCACAGCGCGGGGTCCCCGTCCACACCACACACCGCGCGGGGTCCCCGTCCACACCGCACACCGCGCGGGGGTCCCCTCCACACCGCACCGACGGGGTCCCCGTCCACACCGCACCGCGCAGGGTCCCCTCCACACCGCACACCGCGCGGGGTCCCCGTCCACACCGCACACCGCGCGGGGTCCCCTCCACACCGCACATCGCACGGGGTCCCCGTCCACACCGCACAGCGCGCGGGGTCCCCTCCACACCGCACAGCTGTGCCGGGTCCCCGTCCACACCGCACACCGCACAGCGAGGGGTCCCTGTCCACACCGCACCGACGAGGGTCCCCGTCCACACCGCACAGCTGTGCCGGGTCCCCGTCCACACCGCACACCGCGCGGGGTCCCCGTCCACACCGCACAGCCCAGGGTCCCCAAGGTTCCCGCCTGACCATTGCTGTGATGCGCACACAGCACAGAGACACTGCTTGCAGGTGGCCAGGAGAGCGGGAGCAGTCCGCCCCAAATCCTAGGGCTGCGCATGGCCTCGCCAACTACACCAAGTCACCAGAACACAGCAGGGAAAGGCGAACACACCTGGGCTGAAAGATCCGCAACCTAGCTCCATCCTCACTAGCTGTGTGGGCTTGGCTCCCTCCCCTCCCCCTCCCCCTCCCCCTCCCCCTCCCCCTCCCCCTCCTCTCCCCTCCCCCTCCCCCCCCTCCCCCCCCTCCCCCTCTTCTCCCCTCCCCCTTCCCGTCCTCCCCCTCCCTCCCCCTCTCCCTCTCTCTGGAATATAGTTGTTGTTTTTTAATTTTATCATTCAGTAGTTGTACAGAGTATAATCTTGGCAACACAGGAATGATAGTACAAGTTTTTCCCCGCCCTGGGCATCAACACCTATAGTCCTAAATTACTCACAAGAGTTTGAGACCTGAAGGATCATGGTTTGAAGGCAACCTTAAGCAGAAAAGTTGAGACCTCATCTCCTATTAATTAGTAAAAGGCTGTGTGGAAGGCATGGTTCAGGAGGTAGAACACCAGCAGTGAGCAAGAAATCCCAGCAAGTTTATAAAGCCTGGCGTGTGTGCCTGATTGTGTGTGTGTGTGTGTGTGTGTGTGCGTGTGTGCGCGCGCGCACTACTTTACCCTATATGATTTGTTGGGAGCATAAAAGTATTCTGTAAACTATATAATGCCCAGGACAAAGCACACAGTTTATGTTTATTCCCATGATTGTGATTCTCTGCCTCCAGGGTCTTTATACTACTTGAAGGATCTGTTTCATGCTGTCTTAAATCTTATTTTACTGCTGGTGGAGGTCCTGAGAACTGGACCCTTTGAAGCATTGTGGTGACTCATCCAATGTTCCCTGGGTCTAGGTGCCCCCAAGCTTCTGTCCATGTTTTATGCTTTTGTTACGTTCAATAGGTTGTAATCTGGTGTATCCCAGAGGGTCTCGGTTAATCATATGAAGCGCGTCCACGGCTTTTGGTGCTATTCTGCTAAGTTAGAATGTCTACTCTGGAGCTGCGTGTTGTGGGGTCTGCCATAAGTACTCATGATTTCAAATCAAGCTCCCCATTCCAGAAAAACAAAACTAGGAGCAGTGGCTCACAGCTGTAGTCCTAACTATAAGAGAAGTAGAGTGAGAGACTAGGTTTTACAAATTAGCCCAGGTAAAAAGCAGGAGACCCTATATCTGAAAAATAAAAGCAAAATGGCTGAAGTCCTGGTTCACGTGAGGCAAGATGCTGAATCACTACCCCTCCCCCAAAAGCAAACATAAAAGTAAATAAATCAGCCCATTCTCCTCCTCCTTTTTGATTTTCCTGTCTCTTCATAGTAGTCCAGAGTTTTGTCCCCCCCTCCCCCTTGGCTCCAACTGTCCCTTGCATTTTCTGAACTCCTGCTATTCAAATTTATACTGCTGTTTGTCTTTCTTTATCATTTTATACAGGTGTCTATTGTAGCCAAACCCTTCAGGGACAGGAGCAATCCCTTCCTATAATACCAGTAGTCCCCACTGCTGTTAGAGCATCAGAATTCCCTAACAGCTTTCACAAAAACGCAAATTCTCACCCAGGAGACTGCATTCAAAACCCGTGTCTTGCAATACTTAGCTCAGTGGCTGACTTGTAGCAAGCAATTTGGGGTGCTTTTGGTAGTATATCTGAGGAACTTTTTAAATGAAGGATATCTTAAATCACAAGGCTACTACCAAAATCCTGGCAAAACTCTGTAATCTTTTTGTCATCACTTACCGATTTGCCTTTGTGTACTTAGGCTATATGACACAGTCATTAGATCATTTTTATTTTTCAGCATGAAAAATAGCTACATATTACTGTTTCTCCAGTCTTTGTATTAATTCCAGGTCTGCACTATATAATAATAAAACATACCCATTCTACCCTAGAGAACATTAGATAATGATTTTTCTGCTTCTCTGATTCTTCTCTTGGAGCAAGTGGTATGTTTACACATTTGCTGGCTCCCTGAAAGGTGGGGCTGACATTGGAACAATTGTACCCGTGTGCTACATTAATGATTAAGTGGTGCACACGTATTTTATTGAACAAGACGCCCAACAGAGGAACACTGCATTGAAGGGGGACCCTTTTAATTACACATTCCAATACTGATGTTTGGGGCCTTTGGTTGAGGAATTCGGCAGTGAGACGTTTTTGGTCTTCTGCAGCTTCTGGTGCCACCCAGAAGTTTCTTTGGAAGCCTCAGTATCTGAGGGACTAAGCGACCTCGGAGACAGCAACCACTGAAAACTCCAGGAGATCTTCCAAGATTAACCTTCAGTTAGAGACTCTTGTCTTCCAACAGCGTAGAGAATACCTTCCTTTAATCCAAAAGACACTATTTTCATTTCTCCACAGTCTGCTCTTCTGGTGAGTCAGATGCCCCTGTCTTGGGCCAAAGCTCACAGGCGGCAGCAGAACCATTGGCGGCTGGTTTCTGTGGCTTGTGTGGGGAGAAGAGGAAAGGTGGGGCAGGAAGGGGTGAGGTGGAGAGGTGGAATGTGGCAGCACCCTTCTGCTCTGGTCAAGCTAATCTAAAAAGGTGTCCGTGTCCTTTATTCACAATGATTTACAGAAAACTTGACAAACGTGCTACAGTCAAAGTCAAGTCTAGCAGGAAGCTTGGTTTTCCCCAGTCAGATCCTCAGCAATCAGGCGAGGCGACTAGGAGAAAGAACAGGTCTCTGAAAATTAAGGGAAAAGACATTAATACCAGTATCATCTCCTTAATAAAAGAGAGAGAGAGTGAGAGAGAAATCTTTCACCACATCTACCCAAAGCTAAAATAATTGTCTTTCTAGATGACAGATTTGCAGTCATCCAAGCTGCATTTTTAGGAAACTCAACTATTTCTGGTGGTCTTCTGGAAAATATCAGATTATTTCTATTTTTCCCACCAGGTAGTATAATGGATTGTCAAGCAGGGAACCCATGGAATATCACCTAACTGCCAATACCAGGAATGCCATATATTCTGGCATCATTAGAATATTTCTACCTTGGAGGAAATGGAAATACTCAAAGGAACCTATTCCCTTGTCATTTTTCTGCTGTGCATATTTCCT